GGGCCACGCCACTTCTGGGGAATGAATGGGCAGGCATCGTACAAGGAAACAGTGAGCTCACAGAAGACCGACGCGAAATAGAATTATACCTGTACGTTTAGTGTGGTGATTTTATCGATGGGTCACGCGGTAGCTAAGGCTCATCCAGAGTAGGCCCTAAGGCCTAGAAAAAGGGCCTGTTATTTTGTCACTTTTAGAGTATGTTTTGCCCTTTAAGACGTTTAATGAATAGGCAGTTTTACTTCACTTCACTTTTAGAACTAGAACACAAAGTAGCGAGCATTGGCACGTCGATCTTTTCCCCCATTGATGGTAAACGAAACTGGACGTCTCCATAGCCAGAAAACTTCGTTTCATCACAACGAACAAAGGCCAAGTCAAGCCTTAAGCCGACAGCAGCCAAGACAGGTTCGTCACGCAGATTTTCACGCGTCGGACGTGATTAGTCACCAGTACTACCATACTTGTCACGCGTTGTCCACGACCGACGGCAAAGTTTATTTCGTGATTTCTTTTGTACCCGACTGCGGTGAACCTAAAATGGGAGAGCTGATTGTTTGACCTGCATCTATGTATGCGGGTACGTTCCCTCGTAAATATTAAACGTCTGGGCCGATTTTGGTTAATGATATGTCGTTAGATTCGTCTTAATGGCGCGAGTGACTGGATGTATTAAAATTATTAAAAAAATCAGTTTGTCTTTAAAAAAATTTTTTTAAGCTGTCGGACCTTACTTTTTTTTTAAATAACTCACTTTTTATTATTTTTTGTTCGATTTTGTTTGACACACGAAACTATGTAACGACCACCTAAAACACAAGAAAGGAATTATATTAACCAAAATGAACTATCACGCTTCCTTTGGTGAGCGGAGGAAGAGGACCCATTTTTCAAGGTTGGCGAACTTACGCTAACCCTCAGGGGTTTTATATAGGCGGCGTTAATCACTTAAAATCAGGGGAAACGCCAGATCGCTTCCTAGAATTTGCCACAAGTCAAAATAAATAACATTTGCAGCAGAATAAAAGAACAATAACCTATAGTAATCAAACTCTACATTTGTAGTTGAAAAGCAGAATTCTCAAGGGCCGCGTGACTGACGAAGCTTTATGTAGCTTGTGTCTAGGACTATAATTAAAAAGATTCTAAAGATTTTTGGAAAACAAAATATTATGTCATTGTAAAAATTTTAAATTACGACTGAACCTCAAAATCTGAAAAACTTAAAATTCTTTGTTAATTCGACAATTATAAATGCCATCGCTAAAATTTCTGCAGAAATTATTCTATAAGTTTGTGCCGCGGTTTGAGGTGAGACATCGTCCGTGCCGCAGTATGAAAAAATAATTAAGTTAATTATTCACAGAAAAATCTTGAAAGTCCCAAGGACTGATAGTCCAATAAAGATTAAGGCGAGGATTAACTTTATCTCTATCTTTTATGCACCAGCGTTGTTGACAACCGTCCTTCCAATGATAGGGCAAACCGCTTAATTACTACGGTTTTTTTTATCGATGACAAAAAAAAAAAAAACACGTCCCATCGTAAATATCTCGATCGTACGGTTCCCGCGATTATTCGATATCAGCCGCCAATACACGGCGGACGTGCGCCGAAAAGGGAGTTTGGGTGAACGAACCAATTTGTGTACTGTTCAGTGAAAGAAGACGCTATGATTTTGCAAGACCGTCACAAAGACAGCCTGGGTGGCGTTGAGGTTGGTTTTTTAATTCGCTTCAGAGCACAATGCTTAATCAACATTTGGATGACCGATTTCAGGTTATGTTTGTTTATTTACATAATTTCGTAAATATAATGATGAACGCCTTGAACATGTCTAAAATATTTAACCAAGTGAACGGGTTAGACAGATTTTTACTAAATCCACGTTTGAAAAATTCAGTTCAAGTTAATCGGATTCAAAAACGTGCCATATAACTGTCAAGCCTTTAGCTGTACGGGTAGTAACAAATGAGAGACACTAATTAACGTATTTGAAAAGTCCTTTTTTATTAGTTAGATTGTTACTATTGAAAGCAGGGTTAGTTTCTTATGGGTAAGCTTAAATATTATTGTTAATTCTTCACTTGTTCTTGTTTGATTACAATACAAATGATCATTTTAGCACAGATTGAGTGTCACTTTTGGAACGTTATAAGTTCGAATTCGAACCATTCAGAATACTAGTGGAAGCCGAGTGGTCGAAATTCGAAAATAATTAATTTAAACTATAAGTTTGAACAATATTGATCTATTCTAAAATGTAATACACAAAAAACAAAAGAGTATATTATATGCGTGTTATATCAAATACATGGTAGTGTGGGTAATGTTTTCTTTATTCATTTAATATTATGCATAATTAAAAAAAATATTAGCATTCTGCACTATACCTCTATATAAACTATAAGCATGGGGAATTTCATACTCCTCCGTCCGCGCATTTTTCGTAAAAAGGGGTACAAAGTTTTTGCTTCACGTATTAATATTAGATTCTTTACCGGCAAAGGCCACGAGTATTATGTCAATTTCATTTATTTGTGTTGTGTCATTGTTTATAGCCGTGATAGCTGTGGCCGCCGGTGATCGCTTTTAATTCAATACACTCGAGTAGCCCGAGTTCAAATCCCGGTACCACCACCAATGAATTTTTTAAAACTCAATGCCAGCACCAGTGATTTTTTTAAAATTTTATGTGCTAAATTATCACGTGCTCAGTGGTGGCAAGGAAAATATCGAAAAAAATATTTCAAAGATATTTGAACTCTACCAATCCGCAGTGGAGTCGTGTGGTGGACTAGACCCTAATACCCTCTGTACATAGGAGGGCTTTGCACAGTAGTGGGATTTGTATAGGTTGTTACTTTACTTTTGACTTAGTAACATTGGCAAAGTCGCATTGGGACTTGTATAGGCTGTTAGTTTACCATTTACCTTGCTTGGTAAGATTGGCCATCAAGCTATTGTAGCCAAACTAAGTCAAGTGTGTCGTTACTTGGTCTGGGCTTTACACGTGGACTTTCTACAGAGCAGTGTCTAGCTTTAAAAGTACGGAACCTGTCGTTGTAAGTGTCAAAAGTAGCGGTCCCCGACGTATCAAACCTGAATTGCGATCCCTTGAGCAGATTTTGCTAGATGTACGTTCATTTAACGACAATAAAGCATCTAATTGTAATGCGTAAATATCGAAAAAATAAGGATGGGAGGACTTTTAAATTTCCGATTGTGATTATTAAAGTTCCTAATCAGGTTTCATTTTCTCGCTCTTTCATCAAAATGTGTATTCGACACGGTTCTTTGGCACTTTCATTTTTTTTGCATGAAATTTTGGCAAGCTAGCGGGCCGTTTGCAAGATTTTGTTGGATCTGCAACACCTGAGAAGTGACTGATGCGCTACCAAACATCGTTAAATTTGACCCCGGCTACCTCGCACACCAGACGAAACGTGAAAGTGTAATACTTCCAACTCCTCCTTTGGTCCTGCGTGAGCCTTTGTTTGTTTCCTGGACGAGTTTGACATTCTTGCAACGGCAGAAGCTGCCGCGTAGCTATACCACAGTGATATTTTAACACCCGCTAGGGTGTTTATATATTATCGACTTCCAACTCCTCCTTTGGTCCTACGTGAGCCTTTGTTTGTTTCCTGGACGAGTTTGACATTCTTGCAACGGCAGAAGCTGCCGCGTGGCTATACCACAGTGATATTTTAACACCCGCTAGGTCTGCGAACTGTTTTTGAGAAATTTTCTTTATTTATTTTTTTATTTCTTCTATTGAAGACGAGGTTTTCGTGAGCTTCTAGCACATTTACAGTTTTTCATTATCCTTAAATAGAGGATAGTGGAAAACTGTCCGGTAATAGAGTATTTTCACATACTTCATTTTTACGGAAAAATACAAAGTATATTTGCCAAGAATAAAGAAGGAAAAATTATTATAAAGTATGGTTGGCAACCCTATACACCGCCTCAATATCTCTCTTAGGCGACTGTTTGGCCTTTAATAAGTTTTAGTGAATTGAACGACACAAGTTACAGAGGCGTAAACTGCAGATTCCTAGCCCTCAACGGTACTCGCGAAAACTTTATTTAACATGTGTGAGCTTTTAGGACTCTATTATGTGCCGTCTCCATAGTAGATTCCTAAACGTATTTCCCCGTCAAATGCCACGTGCGTCACACAGTAGCTAATTTTGTGTTCCGCATTACGTTTATACAGTTTTAAAGGTTTTATTGAAATTATTACACAGGGTATTTTACAAATGGATGAATTACCGCCTCGTCGTCTGTCTGTTGCTTTCATTTTCGAAGAATTTTAAGTTACTTATAATTTAATTAATTACTCCGAGTGTTTTAGTGTGTATTTTTCATTTTAAAACAATTTCAAAATGATATACATACAAATACGAGGTTAGATATGACACCAGTACACCGAAACTGAGGCGCTCAAATCACAACAATTGGCGTAATTAGATTACCATTCTACAAACTACTGTCTGTCACATTCACTTATATAAGTCATATAATGTAAAGCGGAATAATTTTTAAACGCCACGCACTATGGAAATGTGTCATCTATATTTATTAAACATCATTGCAATTACATTGTTTCTCTGATGTCGTCATTACAGAACAACTGGCTTTGCGCCTCCTAACTTAAACAGAAAAATATCAATCAATTAACGTCAAGGTACAAATTGGTTATGAAGTAAAAAAAAAGGAAAGCCGTGTCTTGTCTGTATTCTTTCCTTTTTTTATTATTATTATAGGTTAATGGACTTCGGATTTCTTCATACAGACAAGTTATCAATAGTTATATAACCTTTCACGCATGTCCGTCATTCACATGTGTCAAAAATAACTGTCTTCAACTTTAACTTTTTAAACTAAGGAGGTTTACTGCGGACACTGGACTTATTGTTGTCTGTTTAACCTCTAAAAGGCAAAGTCCGTGACTAGGATGTGAACGTGATATTAAAGCTGTTCTCTGTTTCTCGCAGGAGTACAAAGATGAGTTGAAGAAGAAGGAAGCGGGCGACAGCGATGCGCTGGAGTCTGTGCTTGCACACGTGGGCGAGATGGGCCGCTACCAGAGGTTCCTCTTCGTGGCCATGCTCCCCTTCGGCGTCTTCTTCGCGTTCGTGTACTTCGGGCAGATGTTCATCACCGCGACGCCCCAGCGGCACTGGTGTCGGGTGCCGGAGCTCCAGCACTTGGATATGGGGATGAGGTGTGCACGCGAACACATAATATTGAGATAAGGTGTGCACGCGGACGCAGATCTAAATTATGGCTGCTTCGTAGATGCAGAAACTTTACTTTTAAATATGGGTTTGGAGACTCTTTAAATTATGGTGGGGTTGCATCTTGTTTTTGGCGCCTTTTATAGAAAAGGCTTAGGTTTTCAACAGTGTAAAGATTTTCCTTGCCGTTGTGGTCTTAGTTCTTCCTCTTCTTCTTTCTTGGTGGTTATCAATGAATACGCCAATGAACACTGTTGATACTCAAACACGGTTAGTTATTGTTCAACATAGTTAAACAAGTTGATTTTATAGTAACTCTGCATGACAGCAGTGTAATAATACAATGACTTATTTAATAGCTATTATTTTGGCAGTGTCTGCTGACTCTCCTGAAACAAAACACACAACCGGTGTAAAACCAGATAGATCAGGGTTAGGACAAGGGTTAATTAAGACAAAGAATTACAACTCAACATTATTTGCAGTCTTAGTTGTTGCCATATTTATCTGCTACTCTCAATGAAATAATTCCAAATACATATGGTTTAGAAAACTTAACGGTTCCGACATTGGCGTTCCTATTTTCGGCGAAAGTAGATCATTATGTTCAAAATAATAATAAATACTACGTTAGGTAATGAAACGGATAAGAAAGTATGTATTTATAGAATTATTTCGGTAGAGTATTTTCGCTTTAATTTTTGTACTTTTAATTGTTATCTAATATGTTATCGAATTCGTTTCAAGTGATTTCTTTTCGAATCATGACCTAATTGGAATTGTTAGATTGTACCATCTTGATTAGATAATTTGCCTAAAGTATTGTAAGTGAGGTAGATAGGTATATATCATTGGGAAGAGGAATTGCGGTATACCTCAGCAACTTCTTCCTTCTAATTCTCCTATCGATGTAAAATATCAACGACTTATGGAAAACCGTTGATTTATTCAATATATATAATAGATAATCGTTTTATAAACAGACGATATGGGTTGTTTATAGGTGTGGCAATCGCAAGCCGAACAAACCGCTCAAATTATTCTTTCGATCCTTTCGATTTATGGGTTGTTTATAGGTGTGGCAATCAATCACCCAAAACACATAGGCGTTCGACAAGTTCTGGCATCACGCTTGCTCTACAAGCTGTTTGTACTCAACGTGACAGACAGTTTCGTGTTTACTATTACAGCCTTCGTTTTGAATTGCTCTTTCTTTTTCAATTCAAGAGTTAACTCAAAGGTTCATTGAAAAAGTCGAAAACCATATCAATCCTCAGGTGGTAAATGCACCATATTACCAACCCAACACAAACGCGTCCGTTTACAAACGTCGCTGGCGCAACCACCTCATTTATCCGATCTAGGAAGGGTACATAGGTACTTCGGACCCACCGGGGTCTTGCTAGACAACACTTTACCCACATATAGTGCTAACTAATACACTGTGTCGCCACATAACCAATCAGAAGTTATAATCTAACTAGCGACCCGCCCTGGCTTCGCACTAATGCGTATATCTATACAGATAAATAAAATTGGAGTGTCTGTTTGTAAGATTCAAATAACCGCTTTTTATTAAATGGATATGGATGTATACATGGTACATATACCAAAATAGCATTTATTACAATTTTTGTCTGTCTGCCTGTCTGTCTTTTTGTTCCGGCTGATTTCTGAAACGCCTGGACCGATTTTGACGGGACTTTCATTGGCAGATAGCTGATGTAATAAGGAGTAACTTATAACAATAATAATATAAGAATATTTATATCGATAATTCCACGCGGACGAAGTCGCGGGATCAGCTAGTCATACATATAAACCTTCCTCTTGAATCACTCTATCTAGTTAAAAAAACCGCATCAAGATCCGTTGCGTAGTTTTAAAGATCTAAGCATACATAGGGACAGACAGACAGCGGGACGACTTTGTCTTATACTATGTAGTGACTAATTGTTATCCATAGTTATTACATGCACTTTACTACGTGACCTTCTTGTCGCAGGAGAAATCTTACGGTGCCTCGGCTCGAGGGCGGCTGGTCCCAGTGCGCGATGTACAACGCAAACTGGTCCCTTGTCCTGGAGACAATGACGCCGCCGGACCCCTCCACGGAGACGGTGCGGTGCCGCGACGGCTGGGAGTTCGAACTCGGCGATATTCCGTACCGCACAGTTGTCAGCGAGGTACGAACTGATGACCCTTACAATAACGGACGAAACGGTACGAAATTAGGCCGAGTTGATGGAGAATAAGTTCGCTAGACTTGTGAATAGGAACTATTCACCTTATAATAATGGACGAAATGGTATGAAATTAATCAGGTCAAGTTGATGGAAAATAAGCTAGCTATTTAAAAATATCAGAGTTGACAGAAGTCTTTTCCCGACTTGTGAAAGGCAACCATTCAAATTTCGCTATTTTTAGGGTTCCGTACCTCAAAAGGTGAAAACAGGAACCCTTATAAGATCATTTCTTGTCCGGCTGTTCATTTGTTTCAATTTTAACATCTCTCGTTAGAAATATTCATAGTTAAATGTTATTTGTAAGGTGTATGCTGTAAAATATGCACACTAGCTGACGCCAAGCCTTGCTAAAATGCAATAGAACTAACGTAAACAGATGTCAAGTTTTTCGATGACGATATAGCTTAGTGGTTAAGGGTTTGGTCGCGAAACCAGAAGGCGCAGGTTAAAATCCCGAAGTGTTACTCGTAGCTCATTTATCTACAGATATCTACATTTTAAAATTGTATTTCATTTATCTACCAATATCTACAATTGAAAATTTCCCGACTTGTTTTTCAAACAGCGCGGTTGGGTGTGTGAGTATTCTGGCTTCGCACCGCTTGCGCAAACTATATTCTTCGTCGGCTCCTTGACTGGAGGGGTTTTCTTCGGCTGGATAGCAGACAGATACGGAAGGGTGCCTGCGTTGGTTGGTAAGAGTTGCCATGATTAGACGTTACGAAGTAAAAAAAATGCCGAGTATAAGTAAACAACATTATTTAAGTTCAGTCTTAAAAGATGAAGTAAATGAATTTCATGATAATAGTAAAGTACAATAACGGATTTCAACATATTGGGACATTAAATTCGTCTCAGATGTGGGACTGACATAGGCTATATAATTTCAATATGGTATCCGTGAGATAAAAACTGACTTATAGTTAGAATATTCAAAATAACCGGGTTTTTGTTTCCTTTAATAATTGATTGCTTATTAGCGGGGTCCAAAAAGATTATTAATTATCATTGATTAACTTGATAATTATCACGATGAATATGTCAAAAATGTTTATTTTGCCACACTTCGAATTGCCGTATTGAACTCTGCGTGTATCGGAATGCGCTCGCCATCACTTGTGGCGTTGTTTTTCTATATTCAATCGTTCAATTATTTACCCAAAACAAAGTATATGCAAGTGATTCTTAAAAGATTAAATTTCTTTCGTAGGTAGAAAAAAACATTGTTTGTTTTCTCTTACGTAATGCCACGAAATACTATGAAAACTTAAACATATATAAGTATAAACAACCCCTTTTTGACCCTTTTGTGACATTTATCATGGCGTTCATTGCAAAACACAGATCATTTCCCGAATACATGTTGCATGTTTTGAAAATATTTCAGAGCAGAGATACCTCTGCTATGTTGTGGTGGAACAATAAAAATTTCTTCCATTTTGTTTCCACTGCACTTTAACGATACTTTCCTTATTCAAACTAGTTCAATCAAAACTTAAAAATCGAATGGGAAATGGAATAGCGACTAAATTGACATTTATTTTTAAATACTTCAATCAGCAAAATGAGAATGTCAACACTGACCACATTTTACCACTACATAGTCCACGCAAGAAGATCCGGGAATATGTAAACATATTATGCCCAACAAAACTAGTGTAGCCGATATATTCTCGAAATAACCTTCTTTCACCACCAGGATATACGAACCATAATATAATGTAGCATATTTGACCCTTTTCTATTTTAGTAACCCTGATTAGCTTATTTTTCCCATTCCGATTGTATTTCTCCCAAGGTTATGCGCCACCCCAATCTGTTATTCAAAGATCTTTCATGCAGATTACAATAGTGTTGCGTAGTTTCCTCGAGTTGAGGTTTTTAATGGCACTACTTGTTTACTGTTTAACGATATAGTACTATTTATTTATTCTTTATTGCAATTATCTTGTAACAAGGATTACAAAGGGCGAACTTAATGAAATAAAAATATAAAGCAAAAATTCAGAGTTACAAACTTTTTGTAACGGAACGTTTGTGTTAAAGGCTTATACAATATACAATATTAGTGATTATTTAAATGCTACCATACTCTGGAAATGAACTGATCCCTCCAGTCTCTTTCAAGTGGATATATTGTAAACACGCTAGGTTCCACTGAAAATCAGCTCTCACGACGTTTTTTTTGTTTTTAACTTCGTGAATTTAACGTTGAGTGGAAATCTTTTTGGTGCATTAATATTTAGAATTTAAAATTATTTTCTTTCTTTGTAACAAAATTACTGTGTTTATGTTTATGTGCCAAATAAATATTTTTCTCTGTCCATTAATGGTAAATAAAATTGTTCCACAGTGTTTCTTAAGCCGGATCTTCTCAAGACTTATTTTCCGAACGGAACAGGATCAGACATACATAATCATTAAAATTTGTAGAAAATGTACGTAGAGTTTAGCAGCCGCGGGAATCGATTCCACGTCTTGCGGAATCGCGTCCAGACGCTTTGATCACCAAACTAGCTTATTAATGAAACTATTTAATGGATTTTATAGCATTTTAAATGTGTCTATTTTACGGATTTTATCACGTAAAATACTTTCATTTCATATGTATAATATTCGCTTCAAAACAAGAAATAAATGCTATAAATCTTAATGTTAATTTTAAACTTACACAATTATTCTATGCTCGTAACGCGTGTTCACAGTTATAAATTTAAATGTCTTTTGTGATATAAACTTTTTTATTATTACTTAATAACAGGTAATGACTACGATTAGTCGAAGAAAAATTGCGAAAGTAGCTTCTGCTTTAGATACTGTAAAAACGCTAAAACAATCATTTCCTTTCAAACTCTTATCTTTATTGTTACAGGGACAAACTTGATCGCGTGTGTCGGCGGTTTGGGCACTGTCTACACTACTGGCCTGTGGGATTTTATCTTCTGCCGATTTCTAGTGGGAATGTCCTTCGACAACTGCTTTATGATGATGTACATACTTGGTGAGTATCTTTTCTCCATTATGTGTACAAGTACAACCTAGACGTCAAAAGATACATCTTTGGGTTTTTTTTTTCACAATATAAATGTTTTAATACTTTGAACGGCGTTATGAATATAAGTCATTTTTTAATTTAGTATTTCCGCAACAATCACTTTAGAAGTATCGCCCAAAAGTATTATCTTTATTGGAATTCTTCTTTTACTGAAAAATTATAACAGGTTCTTCAGATTAATAAGTAAATATATTATAAGTAATATTAATTGTAATTAGATGAAGCTCAATTATCCTTTGAGGATTAAAGTGAAATGAAACGTTTATTAATTCCAGAGACTTAATCAACAGTTTCGCCCCGTACTGTTAACAATACGATTTCGCCATAAATTCATCAAAATCTGATTACGCCCCGTTTCTGGAACACTGATCATCGTAGAAATTAACTAATCCGTTGTCAAATGCCATTTGAGTTGCCAATAGGATGGTTGAATTGATCTTCTAATCAAGAAGATCATTCTGATTAAGAAGATCATTCTGATTAAGAAGATCATTCTGATTAAGAAGATCATTCTGATTAAGAAGATCATTCTGATTAAGAAGATCATTCTGATTAAGAAGATCATTCTGATTAAGAAGATCATTCTGATTAAGAAGATCATTCTGATTAAGAAGATCATTCTGATTAAGAAGATAATTCTGATTAAGAAGATCATTCTGATTAAGAAGATCATTCAGATTGAGAAGATCATTCTGATTGAGAAGATCATTCTGATTGAGAAGATCATTCTGATTAAGATCATTCTGATAAATCTGCGATGATCAGTTTTCCAGAAACCGGGTGAGTCAACAAAACCGTTAGTCATTGTGATGTTCAGAAGATCAATTGCAAGTGAACCTGTGATGCGACCGCGATCTCTCGTCTTTGCCGCAGTGCTGGAGTACGTGGGGCCGAAGCACAGGACGTGGGTGGCCAACATGTCCATAGCGTTGTACTTCGGCGGCGGCTGCCTGATGCTGCCCTGGCTGGCGTACTTCATCGCCGACTGGCGCCACTTCCTCTGGGTCACCTCGTTGCCAATGGCCCTGACCGTCTTCGCGCCGCTCGTGATACCCGAGAGCGCTAGGTGGAGTGGTCTTGTTACAATCGATCAGCTCAATTGATATGGGCAATTGAATACATAACAGTACTGATTATTTTTTATGTCAAACGATGGCAAGCGAGCTGGCTGTCCACCTGACGTTAAGTGATTGAATGACCCGTATGGTTGCAGGTTGCCACCTTTTAATAAAGTGGGCCCTGGCTTCTTCACTCACCAGACGAAACGCAGAAGTATAACACTTCCATATCACGCCGGTCTTCTGAGATTGTGGTACGACGGACCTGCCCATTCGCGCAACAATGCAAAGACTGTTGCGTGGCCCTACCAGTTAGTTACAAAATATTTGCATAATAATAAGGTTCGTAAATGAACGGTATCTGGAAATTTTCATTCGATGTGAATAACTTGAAGATGCTTGGGTACGCTTAGGGCAATACCTTGAAGGTTTAAAGGAAACGGTCAATAAGCTGTCACGATTGGCAATACAGGAAAAGAAGATATTCTCCTTTTACCAGACTTTCTTGCTCCGACAAAATTTATTACAAAACATTTGTTGAATGTTATTGTCTTCCTTTAAGAGCTTTGGGAGCTTTGGTTCAAACATTATCTCTTTTACGATTTCAGATGGCTTGCGTCGCGCGGAAAGGTGAACCAAGCAGTCAAAATTCTGCGAAGATTCGAGAAAATCAACGGGACAAAAATCCCTCAAGATGTCTTGGATGACTTTATCGTGAGTTCATCTTTGTTGATTTTATTCCTTTTAACATAAGAACCTCAGAAAAACATATCGTGGGGTGTAAATTTATTTCTAATGAAGCGCTTTTGCACTGAATACTATACTGGGACAACTTAATCTTAACTAGGTTGTTGTATTTTGTGTGGAAGAGGTCGGATAGACAGTCCCAATGACCACTGTGACCTAGAAAGATCTATTGTCGTCTTTCGAAAACATGTACGACAACGTTATCCTTTGTTTTATGGACGTTTTACATACATAAATTTCGTGGGCTAACACCTAGATCTGAAAGTTTATCTGTGGGTTACAGAAATATTCTCGTGAGAGAATCGAACCCAAGACCACCGAAGCCAATAAATGGCAACTACGGAGGCATCTAACGGGCTCCTACTAATCTGAAACTCCGTTTCGATGATCATGGATTTATTTAAAATAGTGGTCAACCAGTGGTCGAAATTCGACCATGATTATTATACATGGTAATGTGTGTAATGATTTTTAATAATGATTTAATGTTTTTTTTTCATTTAGAGTTTTTAAAATATATTAGCATTCTGCACCTCTTCTCTGTATAAACTATAAGTGTTGGAAATATATATATCTAATCTCAATACGTTCATTTGACAGATTTAGTATAACAGAAAAGCTAGGCAATCATACCCTGCACCTATGTCCCTATGTGAATGTTATTTACGCCAAACACCAACGCTTCTGAATCTACACATTTAAAACGTAGCAATCTCAAACTGTTCATATAGGATAAACCTGTCACAAAGTTTTTGCTTCACGTATTAATATATAGATTTATCCGCCTTGGCAGATATGTCATAGACTCTTTTCTTTCGGCGCAGGTGTCGTCTTCTCAAACTAGACGCACGGGCGAGAGCATCGTCGACGTGTTCAAGAGCGTGCCCCTTCGCAACACGATGATCTTCATGGTAGTGATATTCATGGCGTGCGCGGTCATCTTCGACGGGCTGGTGCGCATGTCCGAGGGCCTGGGGCTCGACTTCTTCGTCACCTTCACGCTGACCTCCGCGACGGAAATACCCTCAGTGACGCTGGTGGCCATTGTGCTGGACAGGTGAGCATTTCTTGTGACGTTTGATAAATATGTAAAGTGTATTTTTATTCGCATACCGACCCGCCCCGGAATCGCGCGGGTCCAATTTATTATACATATAAACCTTCCTCTTCAATCACTCTATCTAGTAAAAAAAAACCCGCATCAAGAACCTAAAGATCTAAGTATACATAGGGACAGGCAGACAGCGGGACGACTTTGTTTTATAGTATGTCGTGATAAAATGTTGCATATTAACATCATAACATCATCATTTCAGCCTGTTTGAGTCCACTGCTGAACATAGGCCTCCGCCACGGACTGCGACGAAGCACGATCCTGAGCCACCTGCATCCATCGACTTCCCCCACATTTGCACAGGTCGTCACTCCATCTAGTGTGGTCGTCCTACACTGCGATGGCCAGTACGAGGCTGCTACTCGGGAACCTTTCTTCCCCAAAAGTTATCGGTTCTACGAGCTATATGATCTTCGTCCATATTCATCTTAATACTCACCCGTTGCGACATACTGTTGAGGTCTTTGAGCATAGTACCAAGTTCCTCCATCATAAGATATCAATGTTAATTTTGTTTTCTTTTAGTTTTGGTGTGTATTGCTGTAATTTTAATTTTTAGTTTTGTATTATTCCATTTTAAACATTGCATGTGTCATAAAATTATAAGGTCATAAGCAGAGGCGGATTAGAGACAAAACAGATTTCATTATAAATGACGGATATCTTTTGACTTCGTCATTATTATGGAAAGTTTGAGTTAAAATCACTCAGTTTTGCCGTATCACTCTGATTAGCTTGTAGAAGTGTTTCACCGCTCTAATTTACAATTATGTCACGATAACTGAAAAACTGAGGCCAAACTATCAAACATAGTATAAAACAAAGTCATTTCGCTGTCTGTGTGTCCCTTTGTATGCTTAGATCTTTAAAACTACGCGACGGAACTTGATGCGGTTTTTTTTTACTAGATAGAGTGGTTCAAGAGGATGGTTTATATGTACAATACAATTGCACCTGCCCGAAGCCGGGGCGGGTCGCTAGTTAACAATATATAAATTTTATTTGAATCATTATTAGCCAAGTTATAATTTAATTACTAATGCGGGTATTTAACTTTGAGCTTTTAAGCTAATATTATAGTTGAGTGGGGTAAACCGAAGCAGAGTTCACTTTTTTCATAATTTTGTTTACTATTCTCAATCTTGTCATCGTATTTTTAGAGCATTGCCTACTTTTGAAATGTCTTTTTGGCAGTCGGGTTTTTAATTGAATACTTCATCAGTGCATATCGATTTCAGAATTTCATAACGAGGTTACGAAAGTTGTAGTTAAAGTTGACGATCATCTTGTGCTTCTTTTTATTCTATATATATACTAGCTAACCCGGCAAACGTTGTTTTGCCATATAAATTATTTGTAGGGTAGAAAAAAATGTTTGGGGTGGACCACCCTTAACATTTAGGGGGATGAAAAATAGATGTTGTCCAATGCTCGCTAGCTGATATGCACACAAAATTCCTCGAAAATCGGTCAAGCCGCTTCGGAGTTCAATTACAAACACCGTGACACGAGAATTTTATATATTAGATAGTAAAAAAATTCAACAGGTGGGGACGCAGGAAGCTTACCATAGTACCGATCTGTATGGCTGGCGTACTGGCGATCGTTGCCGCATTTGTGTCTAAAGGTAACAAATTTCTCGTCTATATTTTTTATCAGCTAGAGTGAAATATGATTAGTAATTTTCTTTGAAATAGTCATTCTTTGACAGCGATGCAAACTAATGTTTAAAGTGTAGAGCGTGTTATGAAAAGTTATTTACTTTTTGCAAATGTTAAGTGATTACCGCCGCTTAATGCACCTAAAGTCCTAAAGCGTTGCAGATGCATTGCCAATCTTTAAATAGTGGGACCGGATCGTAAGAGCCTGTCTATCCAAGCAACAGCAGAAGTTAGGGCACGGCTCTACCACAGTAAAAATGAATGGTAATTTGATTTCGAATGAGATAGTTTTAATAACAATTATAGCTTTAATCATCATCATCATTATTTCAGCCTGTTCTAGTCCACTGCGGGACATACCTAAGCCTTCTCCATTAAGTGTTACGAAGCACGAAACTGAGCGACCTGCATCCACAAACTTCCCGCAGATAGACAAAATAATAATAGTTAATTGAGTTAACCAAAATCTAGTATAGAAGTTTAGAATGTGTTATTTGAACATATACATACGTAGGCCTTGATGTGGGTCGCAGCTCTGAACTCAATAACTCTTAATCTTTAGTACTGCGAATAGTTACAGGAGTGGGTCGTAGCACAGAAATGCTAAATTTGACCTTTAATTGCTAATCTCTGCACTTAAGATGGAACATTAAAATTTGTAGAAAAAAAACCGTTGCGGTAAACCAACCCACGTTTTCCGGATTCGCGCTTAGACGATTTAACCACTAAGCTAGGCTGAAATCCCCGCACATTTTGCACAAAATTGCCGCACTGACGAAAACCTCAACGTCCTTTCATCTACTAAGCAATGCTTCGCGCTCGTCCTCTATTCTGCTAATTTTATTAGAATTCGACCTTGATAGGGGGCATTTCAAGTTATGTGGCAACTCGGCAGGGATACCCCAAGTGGTGCTGGCGATCGCGGCCCGCTTCTCCGTCAACATGAGCTACAACGCGGTGGTGCAGTGGTCCACGGAGCTGCTGCCGACGGGCGCGCGCGCGTCCGGCTCGTCGCTGATCCACGTCAGCGGCTACGTCTCCACCATGCTGTCGCCATTCTTGGTCTACTCGGTGAGCGGTGCCAACGCGACTGTGACTCCGTGGCAACTGCCAGGAGTCGTGGCTCCTGAAGAGACCGACTATCTCCCACACCAGATGAAACGCAGAAGCATGACTGCGTTTCTTCTTACAATCCAGTCAGATAACAGCTACCGATAGAGCCGAGGTCCGGCCCTCTTGGGCACCCTCGAATCGGAATGCTAAACGCGTGTTGAGTGACAGCCCAAGCCGAGGTCCCCTCTCGGGGGCCCTTGAGCCTGGTCACTCCATGGAGCGCCCGCCAAAGCGCCCTAAGAGCTTGGCAGCCTCCTAAACCGGTGCTAATAATAGCGTGACGGCCCGAACCGAGGCTCCCTCGGGAGCCCTCGAGCTTAGTCACCATAACCCGTAATAATAATACACCAAGGTTCAGGCTAGGCGCCCCGTGCGCCAGGCCACCTCAAGTCCGTCGGAACTGTAAAGGCCCCTAAGGCCAAAAAAACAAAATTCTTATGTGAACTTCCGTTTCGCGCTCGTCTTCTGAGGTCATGGTCTGGAAGACTATTGCGTAGCCCTGCCGCATAATATTTTATCTGGTTCTATATTGCTATATTTTATTTTTAGAGAAAATGTAACTTACAAACTTATGTATCTTTTTTTATGTATAATTTGATGTGCAAGCAAGCGTCTATTAGTAAAAAAATATTTTGAATTTGAATATGGACATTTTTTGTAGCTATTTATTGGAGCTTGAGCCTCATTGTCCGGGCACTCGCTTTTAATTCAATATACTCGAGCAACCTGAGTTCGATCCCCGGTACCTGCACCAATGAAATTGTAAATTTTATATGCTGTCTTATCACGTGCTCAGCGGCGAAGGAAAACATCGTGAGAAACCGGCATATTTTGGAAATGAATCATAAATTGGCAGGAGCGGGTGTGGAAACCGCTGCCCCTGCTCATCATGGGCGTGACGGCCCTGACGGTGAGCAGCTTCGGCTTCCTGCTGCCGGAGACGATGGGCCGCCCCATGCCGCAGACGATAGACGAGGGCGAGAGATTTGTCAGGTCTCACGCGATATGCGGGTAAGAGGAATATTTCTCTTAGTACGTTCACACGCACTCACTGTTCGTTCAAATTCGTTCAATTACTAAGTTAAAGACTTTACTAACCCTCTATCGGAAACATAAATAATCTTAAAGCTGGTTAAACTATAATTAGACTGTGAGGGTCACCGCTCGTAACTAATAAAATACCTGATGATTTCACTGATAGCGTTATGGAATCATTACCTACCCATTCTCGATCAGGATAACAATTTGTAGCACAACTATTTGTTATGAGTCTGGCTGCATTTTGTTTCCATTAATACTTACATTCGAAACCTCCGCAACACATTGTCTTTCGTGATGATTTTAGTTGTGGACCAATAACCAATTGAATCGTATAAATAACAGCTTTTGACCTTAGGAAAAGAGTGCTTTGGAAGCATTGTTTTCCTAAGCTGTAACTTTTACATCACTATTTAAATCATAACATTTTATGTTTCAGACAAGCTGTGGATGATGAAGATGACATCAAGCATGAAAAACAGAAAGCTCTTATCACGTAAGACATTAAAGTAGTGTTGCGGTATAAACAGTACTCGATACCAATGTATTAAAATTTGCTCTGTTGCAAAATTATGATTATTGACTCTACTCGTTGTAAAGTTTCAGTATGCACCAAACATACATATCAACAAAGGGTATGAACTATTACGGAACATTTATTGTGTTAGTGGTTTAGACACATAGACATAGTAACATTCATACAAATATTTAGTTATTCACAAATGATATTTTAATTATTTCATTATTTAATAATATAAGCTGTATTTATGGTAAGTTTCCAGTAAAAATGTTAATGGAATGTCCGTTATAATTGAAATTTTTTTATTTTGAAACTACTCTGTATTGTTAATATATCGTGTCCCATTCACTGTGATATTATGTCAATTTTATATTATAAATATTTTTCTTATTGATTTAGAAACGTAATTATTTCTCGTACCTAATTACATTAATACAGTACACATCCAATACGACTATTTATTGTCGAGTTAGTTATTAAAAATATACATCCTCATTCAAGATCTGTAGGATCATAAGAATTGTTAGACGTATAACTGCTATTTATTCGTTTACAACGTTAATTAATATTTTTTAAAAGTGCTAATAAATATAAATAAGAAATAAAAGTTTACCATATGTATAGTTAGGTTACAAATATTATGTAAAGACCGAAGCAGTTTTTTAAAATTTTGGTATATTGTTTTATAATTGGTCGTTAATACGACTTTCATTTACTAAATAATGAAGTTTCATTTTTGAACATTTTTGCATCAAATACGTGTCTGAGTTACAAAGTTTGTCCCAATTATCGAGCGTCGAAATTCAAGGGTTTCTGCTGAAGACTTTCGTGGCAACTTAACAACTAAGTTACTAAACGTTGGGCAGTACTCGGTTGCCGGGTCAACCCCCACAGGGCAAATGTTGCCACCATATTGTTAATGAACCTTAACAATATGATGGCACGACAGGCAAAGAAGTAAAGAGCCTTTAGAACAGGTGGATTCTAAAATACATCATGCAACATTTGGTAAAGATTTGAGAGGTTAGATCAGTCTGCATGTGCTTGGTCTGACTTTATGTGAATATAAAAAATATACCGTCCGATGAGTTAAATTTTGAACCTCAAACTAGTTATGTTACTGTTTATAATCGAAATACTCATTCCGATTCTGTGTCATTCAATACGAAAGATATGTGATACAATCACATATCTTTCGTCGTGGGAGTGACAGTAGTGGGCAAGTTGGAAATTATAGTATAGGATTATATACATTAAAGAAAGAGTATTTAACACCATTGTACATTGGAATACGTACATAAACAGTACGGATTTATACGTCTAAAAGTATGTTAACTGGAAGGAAATGATAATAAATTTATTCGGAGACATAATCTTTCTTTTATTATAGGCACTGACGCACCTATTTAACAATGAAAAACAATATATCAGAAAAATAAATATTCATATAATAAGGGTAGGGGGAATTGTATTCCGATGCTCTTAGTTAGCTATTCAATAATGAACTCCCTGAGTTGTCAGGTATTAACTTTGTACTAAATTGATGAATTTTAATTGGATTCCTAACCCATCATTCCGTATAAAAATGTCTGTTTCATATAAGCCACGTGTATGGCGGCTGGCATCGCGTTTTTGCTTAGCTAACATAGACTCGTAACTAGACAACTATGCCCATTCAAATACATAAAATTTTATAAAAAAAAATCATTGAAGCTCTTTAAAGTTAGTTCCATAAGTACGGCGCGGGCATCAATTGCTAAAATCGAATTAACACTAATCGGATCTAGCTTATTGCTAAGCCTGCCATCACATACTCGAAAGACAATGCCGTTTACACCAAACGTACAGTAGTACGAACGAACAGTACGCACGCACGGGTGCGTACTAGATGATTGCGGTGCAATAAGAAAGAAAAAGCTGCAGCCCTCCCCCAAGTTCGCCATCTACTTAGGTGAGTGACGATATGATACGGGAGGGAGGTGAATTCATCACAAAAGAAAAAAAGCTATAGTCTAATCTTTCACTTGTTGCTATAGATCAAAACATTCTACTGACAAAAAACAACACTAGCAAACACACAAACCTAGTTCATAAGCACACGAGTCAAGCACGCCTTGTGTACAAGTCCGGTACATCTTCATCGCATATTGCAAACGAAATACAATATTCATGAAGGATGATAGTTTGCTACAATGTTATTCTATTAATATAAAGAATTACGTGAAAGAAATAGAGCTGGTATTATATGATCAAGAAGAGGTGACGAAGTGATTGGTTCAGGGTAAGAATCAAGTCCGTTGCTCGCACCAAGGGATTGGAGTAGGGTGGTAGGCTTCACGCTCCAGCGCGTCCTGCTGGAAGACGGTAGGTAGACCCGTTCCGAGGAGCAGCTGCTGAGACGTGGTAATTGATGGGGCGTGGTGGTGAGGGGCGTATTGGTTGAGGGGGCGTAGTGGTTGAGGGGGCGTAGTTTTTGAGGGGCATGGTGGTTGAGGGGGCGTAGTTTTTGAGGGGCATGGTGGTTGAGGGGGCGTAGTTTTTGAGGGGCATGTTGGTTGAGGGGGCGTAGTGGTTGAGAGGGCGTGTTGTTTTAGAGAGCGTGGTGTTAGAGGGAATACGGATAAAGATGGTTGAGGGGGCGTGCCACTAACATGTAAGCGGGGTCCAGCTTGGGCCGCTTGGTGGGCGGCTGGCTGTTGGCCGCGTTGGCCGCCGCCACCGCGGCCGCCGCGCCCGACGCGCCCGGCTGCGGGGTGCCCGCGCGGGAGGTGCTCGCCGAACCGGGCGCTGCGCGAGAATAGACTCTATTACAGCGGCCCAAGGTCGCTTGCCCCATGCACAGGGCAGAGCTCAGGCGCAGAGCATTTTCGACTTGAACCCACGGTGCGAGATACATGCTGGTACCCACCTGAGGAGTTGGCTGCGGCGGCCTTGTCGGCGCTGTTCTTGGACTTCTTCGGCTTCTTGGCGCCGGCCTCAGGGTCCGAGTCCGAATCCGAGCTGAACTCACTGCTGGAATCTGCAACAGGAGCGAAGGGAAACTGACTTCAAAGTAAGTTATTTCAATGTAAAGGCTAAAATTAAAGGGACAGTTAAAATTATAGAGGAACACGTTGTTGCCAGATATGGAATTGATAATTGCAGTAAGGCGTGGTACGTGGCTGTGTAAGAAATCGTTAAACATAAATTCTAATAAATTTTGTTAAAATTCTATCAATTGAAATTCTAATTAAAAAAACTAGAATTCATGCATTATACAAATTCTCTGCGACGATTACTAAGAAAAATACTCAAAATTTCTGCAGTGAATTAAACATGACAGGCTGATTTTGATCACCCTAATCGCCTATTCTATTTTCATGTACTGTAATTCTATAATTTATATAATATTGTTTTACAAATAACTGTGGTAGGGCCTCGCAACAGTGTTCACAGTTGCACGAATGGGCAGGTCCGTCCGGGTAAGTACCACGACCTCACAAAAAACCGGCGCAAAGTAGAAGTGTTACACTTCTGCGTTTCGTCTGGTGAGTGAGGTAGGCGGGGCCCACTTTATTTAAAGATGTCAACGCATCTGCAACCCTACAGGTGTTGGAAATGTCCATGGGCGGCGGTTATCACTTAGCATCAGGTGAACCGCCAGCTCGTTTGCCACTTTATCACATTAAAAAATATATATAACATATATTTATTCCATTCAGTAATAAAGAAGATTGAAGATCGTCAGTGTACCTTTCTTGCCGTCCTCTGGCTTCTTCTTGCTCTTCTTGGTGAGCTTGCTGGCGCGCTCCTCTCCCTCCTTAGTCGGCTCGTCCTCCTGCTCGGACTCCTGTTTCTGCTCTTGTTCCTCCTCAGAATCCTCGTCGGAGGTCAACAGTTTCCTGAAATTTGGCGCAAATCCGGTAAATTCCGTCGTCAGTCAACCGCTGAAAGATCAAAGCCCATCACGCTAACACTGCAGATGCGAAAGGTGAAAGCATCTGCTCGGTTTCCCTTCACGCAGCGCGGCAATACGGATTCAAATGAAATTTGGAACGAAGGCTTATTGTATCTTAGAAATAATCTTAGACGAAAGGTTCCTCGCCGCCGCGGGAATAAAACTAAAAACTAACGGCCGGTTTCTGAAACACTGATCATCGCGGATGTGTACTAATCAGCTGTCAAATCGTTCTGATCATTAAAAGATCATTCTGGTCAATTCAGAGAGTTTAACCGTCCTTTTGGCAACTAAAATGAAATTTGAAAAGTCATTTAAAGGCTGATTAGTTGACATCTACCATGATCAGTGTTTCAGAAACCGGGCGTAAGAATATAATAATTTGTCGACAAATTTTAATGTGTCACCTCGTGACGTGTGTCAATGGAAACGCATACCTGAGCGCGTCCTCTTCGGCGACGCCTTTCAGCTCTTTATTGGCCTTCGTCTCGTGGTCCGAGTCGCTGTAAAAGATATACCGCCATTACAAACACCGTTTATATGCGTGCCTTTATATTGCTGGATAGGGTTGCCAACCATACTTTATAATAACGTATCCTACTTTATTTTTGGTAAATATACTTTATACTTTTGCTTATAAAAATAAAGTATGTGAAAATACTCTATTTTCAATCTGAAGCATTAAATAAAACACAATGTATGTAACCTATATGGATAGTTACTGAATTTTCATCGATACTTTTAAGTTAAAACAGAACACTTTCAATTCAACTTACAATCGTTTGTTGTCAATTATTTTTTATTATTTCTATTTTCATCCCAAGAAAATTTTATCACTTTTTTGTTCTTATATGATATTTGTCAAATTGTTTTCCCAAATTGTCATTTTCATAAATATGTGATACTTTATTTTTTTCTTCAAAAAATGTTGGCAACCATACTATAATATACTAGTTGACCCGTGGGATATTTTACCCACAGTACCATGATCAGTAACCGAATGGTAATTAATGTGTTGATATGTATTCATCAATGAAAGGAGTCTAATTTTTAAGGAGAACGCTAACAGTCTACTTCTGACAGACGAGCACGGGATTCAGCTTATGTTAAGAGATTATCGCCGCCCATGGTCACCTAAAATACCTTATGGGTTGCAGATGCATTGCTAACCAGTAAAAAAGTAGGCTCCGGTTACCTCACACAATAGACTAGTGCGATAGTATAATACGCAAGTGCGGCGGTCTTCTGACTTCCCCGGATGGACGTGCCAGTTCGAGCAACAGCCGAAACTGTTGCATGGCACACAGTCGATTGTAGTAATTATAAAAAAAGGTATAAAAATTTAATAGACATAATTTTAACGATGTAAGGAATCTGAAACCGAGTTACCAGTCAAACTGAAATACTGTATATAACAGCATAGGGGGATCAGACCAGAAATATAACATTAGTACGGTGGTACAAGCCTAGAAGGTGGTACAAGCCTGTTGAAGGTTAGTATCAATTACCTCTCGGAGGAGTCAGATACGTAGTCCCTTTCGCGGCCTTCCTCGTCACCATCGTCGCTCTCCTCGAAAGCCTCATCTTCCACTTTCTTCTTCTTCTTGTTCTTATTCGCGGCCGCTGCGGGGGGGGGGGGGGGATTTTGTCTTTAACGCCGTCCGTTCTACCACGAAACCATTCTTTCGGCCATTGTGACTACGGGCAGCTGATATTTTATATTAAGCTGATTTATAAACTCAAAAAGCTATAAACAAAGCGTATAAGTCTTTCTCATGGAAACACTACAAATGATTATAAATTAAAAAAATATAAACACGATTTATTGGCGTAGTGTATAGTGATGTCTCTTGGGCCTGAAATTGTGGGTTCGATCCTAAATACTGGAAAATATTGTGAGATGGTGTATTTTTCTGTTGTCTGTTACAAAAGAAAAGTTATGTTTGCCAAGTTCATCAGTGACCTAGTACCCATAGCACAAGCTTAGTCTGGGACAAGATCACGATAAATAAAAATGTGTCTTGAAAATATTTATTAAAACTGACACAATGTACTGCTAGACAGTTTCCATGACTGTCGTCTTGCGCGGCGAAAAGAGTACGAAATATTTATCGAAATGACGAAAAAAAATATGACGAGAAAGCTCGTGCATGGTGGAACGTTATGACGACATCTACTAGATACAGAGCAAGTTAATAAACATTTTAGTAACAAACAACAAAAGCGACTTCCATTACACGCTTTTTTATGCGAGAAGGTGGCAAACGACTTGGCGGTTCACCTAATGTTAAGTGATAACCGCCGCCCATGGACATTTGCACACCCATAAAGTTGCAGATGCATTGCCACCTTTTAATGAAGTAAGAAGAATAATATGGCTTACTATACTATTGAATACGCATAAGTATTACACTTTCACTTAACGCTGGTCTTCTTTTAGGTTACGTTGAACTATCACAGTTGAACTCACAATACATTTTCTATTGGATTGTGCTCCTCTTTGAAGTCGTTGGAAAATCTACTAGAGCTGGCTGAATAGTGTCGCCCCAATCCTAACCTTTCTTGTCCTTTTTCTTCTTTGCGCCGGAGTCGCTATCGTTGTCCTTCTCTGCGGGCTCCGAGTCTGAAGAGTCGTCGTCGGAGTCGATCCACTCGTCCATATCCGAGATCTTCAGGTCTGAGGGAGACAGTTGAAAAAGTTAAGTAACATCCTATAAAGGATGATTTTTTAGACAAAGTACATACTTTGTCCAAATAACATGTCCATGTCTATCTACGGTGTTGAGTTAAAACTAAAAATTGATTATATTTATTAATCGACGCGGTTAAACATTTTTCCTGTTACACACAAAATAGAAACTTTACTTATGCCACAATGTTATATTTACACATAGTTAAAAAAAAAAAACATTACACGAAGACTACAGATAATAAAAACGTTAATTTAAATGCATTTGGTGACTTTTTACAGCTAGTTTATAAGAATTCGTCTTATTTTATATTGTTATTATTTTATATATAGTCAAGTAGACATCGAGCGAACTGGCGGTTCGTCTGATCTTACGTGATATCCGCCGCTCATGAACCTAGCAATACCTTGTTACAGCAAATAGGTTTATTCACATCCATATACACTGTCATCTATGAATAGTCCCATAGTCGGATATTATGCTCATCGCTTGTGCAAACGGAAAAGTGTGAATACTCCACGCCCATGCGCGCAGCATGGGCCTCTACTTTGACCCACCCTTCTTGGCCTTGGAGCCCTTGGGCTTCTTCTCGTCGGGGTCCTCTGCATCATCGAGGCCCTCCTCGCCGCGCATCCGCTTCCGCAACATCAGCGAATAGTAGTCGATCACTTTGTTGCGTCTGAAAGGGACGGAGAACGTCACGAACGGGCGCGGTGCGTGCGCGCGAAAGGGATAGACGAGGTTTTCATGATATAGATGATGGACAGACGAGATTATAATGTCCGGAACATTGTCAATATGTAATATGAGGACAGAAAGCGCGCCTGAAAACTACGCGACTGATGAATAAGGGCTCGGGTTGAATATGTTTCGTACGTTCGAAAGAGAAAAAGAAAGATTTTGGTCGAAAATGTTTTAACGCGTAAAAGGGATAGAAACGGCTTTGGACGAAAAATCTACTCACATGTGAAGAGGACAGCACACGCGCCTAGGAGACTAGGGAATAAGGGCTAAGGTTGAATAAAAAAAAGAAAAATTATAAAAAAGAAATACATACGGAGTTCCTTTCGCCTGTTTCTTCTCCGTCAGAGGAAACGAACGATGGTAGAATTAATTAATTACCGTACTATTGATAGATGAACTATTGAATTTATTGATTACTACTGAATGATTTGATTTGAATATTTTTCTACATTTGAAAGAGACAAAAGAGTTTTGTCGAAAATGTTTTATAGGTATAAAAGGGATCGAAAGGACTACACGAAAATTCTCCACTGGTGTATAGGGGATGGAAAAGTTCGCCATCGCACACAGACGACGCACGTTTCTATTTAGCGAGTACTATAGAGATTAAGAAAAATTCATTACTTTCCAAATTCATGCTCCGCTTCTTCAGCCGACAGTGCCTTGTACCTTTGTATCGGCTGGAAATAGTACCTGTGAGGTTAACAAAATACGAAATTATGTTAGTAACACTCTATGTAGCGAAGTAACAAACTATATAGCTGTTTACTCATGTTTACGTGCGTATTACAAACATTTGTCTTTTAATCTACATATATATCTATATAAATAAAATGGTAGCAGTCTTAAACTACTGGATTTATATCTTAATAAACACTTGGCCCTTATTTGAAAAAAAATGTAATATCTCCATTTGATGTTAGGTTAATAAAGCTTTCATAAACTAGTTTCATTGAATATTAATATTTGTATTTTTATATAATGTATGGGTCTCACCACACATTACAACAATGTGTGGTGAGACCCATAGTTCAATAATTTAAAAACTAAAAAAGCCCGACTGCGTTTCTGTGTAATTTTTTATTTCGATATACCCAGTGTCACTTTCACAGTAAATACGAATCTAACGACACCTCTCGAGCTAAAGTGCATCAAGCCGTTCAAGCTGATGGAGTTTAGGGAGCATGCCAAACAATTATACATACAGACATTCATACATACTCTCGAAAAACATAACCCTCATTCTATCGCAGTCGGGTAAATAGGAGCACTGCCTGGTTTGACGTGTATCAACGCACCACTCCTGTAAGGGGTAAGCATCGATAGCGCCATCTGCCGCGTGCGTGAACACGTAATACGCCGCATTCTCCGAAACCCCACCCTCACGGATGCCCTTGAACCTGAAAACAGACTAAAACAGTGAGAAGTTAATCAATAACGGAGCCAAAATAGCACGCTAATCTAATTTGGTAATAACATAATATGTTATAACTATTCTTGCATATTATTTAGCGTATATTGGCGTTAATTGGAATCAGCTGTTAGGTTGTGGGTTCGATTACCACACGGGATAAGTACGTCATGTGTGTAGCCCACAGATAATTGTTCCGGATCTGGGTGTCATTCCCAAAGAAAGTTGAAATCAAGCAGGCAGCTGGTCATAGAAACAATCCTTACCAATACCATTTGTTGGTCATGAATTACAATAATTACATGTTTTGCCGACCTTACCAAGGTGGGGTAAAGGCAGAAGTGGGAAGAAGTTAACGTTATGTATTATTCACATAAGAAAATTTAAAAAATCCAGTCGTAATCAATCTCTTGAATAATACTGGATTTCGGAATACACGCCCGACGCTCTAGACAATAATCCCAACATATTTATCTTTGTTTTTTATTATTCACATTTTTAAGAAAATGTTTGGCCTTATCTGGTGTGTTTCCTACAGCAAAGACCACAGTAACAAAAATTTGGTGAGAGAAATCAAAGGATGCCAAGCATAATCCTAAGCCATATGGCTTAGGATTATGCTTGGCATTCTGAGAGGAAGGCCTATATTCAGCAGGGGACAGGCTGGAGTGATAAAGAAATAGATTAATCTTAAAGAGTAATCCACATCAGAAAAACATATATGCTGTCTTATAAATAAACATAATATGTAACTTTACTGATATACTTGTGACACTGAAATAACCAAGATTGGAGACCATCCTTCACCATCCAGCACCATCCATATGTCAATGTTTTCATTTAATTGACTAATCGGAAAGGAAATAGACATAAAATACCATCCATAGACACATTCTCAATACAGAAGATTGCAGAAGTAAAATTATATACATCTGATGTGACATACTACTAACTTTGTTACCAGTCTTGCCGCCAACTTTGAGAATCCAAGGCTGGTCTTCAGGTTTATATTTCCGCGATATGATGCCGAACTTTTTCCGTCGCGCCTCTTCACGCATATCTCTTCCATACTCCGAGCCTGCACCGAACCTAGATGGTAATTATTTTATAAATTAATGTATTAAGTACACATAAAAAAATTATTTTTTTCAGGGACAAAATAATGTAACATACATATTAAGTCAGTATAACTAAAAAAGTATCATTGTTACAAATTTCATCCATATCCCATTAGCCCATGAAGAATGCAAGGGTAACCTTGGTCTTTTTTTCTAATCTTTGTCACCAAAATCACAAAGTTACTTTGCCTTAATATTTTGATTGATAAAACAATAAATATTATCTTAGGATTGTGGTACAGCACCACATCCATGCAAAACATTTTGTAACAAACGTCTAAACTTTGTTCCAAATTAGGCATTACTGGCCTAGTTAAGGTTTTCTATCTAAGACTTTAAATGTAATTCTTTAAACCTTACTTTGGCATTTCCTCTTCAATCCCCTTGAATTCCTTTATATTGTTTTCTCGTTCCATTTTCACATGCGTCCATTTTGCAAAGTCCACATTTAGTGTTGCATTAAACCGCATCACATGGTATTTCTTTTTAATATTCTTGGGCACTCGTATCTTAAACTCTTGCACTGCTGCTGAAGGTTGCTGTAACAGTTGGAACAAAAATATTATGTTATATATATTTTCCAACTGATTCCAATGTTATAACCTAGTCTATAAATGAATCGTTATTTTATTTTAACTTTAAATAGATAAGAATATGCATTTACCATACCCTACAATATAAAATTTTGCTATCTATCCTGTTATAACAAACTTAACCTATTCTGGAATTAATATCAAAGTTTATATGATGAAATCGTAATATTCACAATAGTAATGGGAAGATTTCTTCTGCGGATATTTTATTATATTGCTACAAACGCATTAAATACAATACACTTTAACGCATTAAATATAAATTTTCTCACCGATCCTCCTGGAGTCGTCATCTTTGTTACTATAAATTTTTATTATTATAAAACTATTCTTATCGTATCATTGACTAATTGTCGTAATTATGTACAAAAATGATTTTATCATCATTCTTTAACAAAAAATAAGTTACTTATTTTCTTAAATAATAAAAATTATTACAGAAGTAAAATTAAGCTAAACTTTACTCTTGGCAAAATGCGTTCGGTTACACTGTAGTTTATCTACTTCAATACTGTCGCAAAATTGCAAAACAAAATTTTAACAAATTTCGTTTAAAAAAATCGTATTGTCTGCAAACCTAGGAGAAAATAAATATATATATATATATATATATATATATATATATATATATATATAATGAACAAAAAGACTGCTAATGATATTACTTATTTATCAATGTTAAAACCAGCAAGTTCATTTCTAAGACTACTACATTATTTTGTTAAAACGGAACAATAATGTCAAAATGACAAAGAATGAAAGAATGGATGGAATGAATTCCAAAAGTTCCAAAACCTTTTTTTTTTTCAAGCTATGAGCACAAAAATCGTATAATTTGTGACACAAATACGGAGTTAAATGATAATTGATGAGTTATTCGTAACTAAATACATTAGAATATTTTAAACAGCCATTTTATAAAAAGTGTAAATAAATATACGATTTACTACAAGTACTGATCATCGTAGTTCTAAATCCTGTTTAAGTTTTTGAACACATAAGCTGATTGTCTTTTTCTGTCAAACTGTCAAGTTAAGAAGAATTTGGAAGACATGCGCCAGTAGAGTTATTAAGATATATTGTAAACAATTTATATAATTAAAAATAAATAACAGAACTTGCGATGGGTAAAAAGAAGAACAAAAACAAAGTGAGCGGGGCTGTAAAAACTGCCGCTAAAACAGAGAAAAAGCTTGCAAATAAGCTCAAAAAAGAACTTGCAAATTTGGGCGAGGTTAGTAAATATTTTTATTTTTTATATCAACGCTTGCATTAATATGACTACTATGACATTCCAACTTTACTCAAATAGTGTTTTATTTTTCTTATCAACTTTTGTATCCCATGGAATTGTATTTTCTATTATTGTATATTATGTTGCATGCTATGTTGTATTATTGAAGAATATATTAAATATTTCTTAATTATTAATGGCAATTCATTCAAAAGTTTTATTTATTTAATAAAGTAGGCCCTGGCTGAAGTATAACATTCTAAGATTAGAATGTTATACCTCTGCATATATATGCAAAAAAGAATATTTGAGCACTATATAAAAATAGTAGTTATTACAAGGTCATTGTTATTTATATGTAGATTTATAAGTGAGAAATGACCTAATGTAAACAATTAGTAAAATCTTTAAAAGAACCTAAATGATAAAACTTAACAAGTTTTACAAAGCAATGAGCATTTCTTAGTCTCCAGGAATAAAAGGTTAATATTATACCAATAAGAGTGAGATATACCTGTCAGCAATTGCTCATTCAAACAGTCTGTCATATTTCATTAAATCTGGTTCTTGGCTCAAAAGTAAGGTAAACCATGTGAGCTGAAACATAGGAGCTGGTATGGCTTATAACTTTTTTTACTTATGGTCCCGTGGTGCCTCAGTAATGACTTGGAACAGAGAGTATTATATTATAATAAGGGCTTATCAATAAGAAGCTTTTGCAAATATGATTTTCTTTGCTACAGGCTAAGATTTGAAATCAGTTTTCTTGAGTATAGTGAATTAATGCATAAAAAAATGACCAGACAGCAAGCTACCTCAACTTTGTTAAACAAGCAGCATAATTACGTAAATTAAAATATGTTGTAGGAGGACATAGCTAAAGTTGTAGCACAAATAGAGCGTGAGGAGGCAAAACGGGCAGCAGCCGTTGAAAAAGCATTGCCAGGACCACCATCAGCCAGAGCATACGCAACTCTCACACCGCATCCCATTAATAATGAGCTAATTTTATTTGGAGGAGAATATCATAACGGTCAAAAGGTAATCTATTAGTAAACTATCACAGTATTTTTAATATTCAAATAAACAAATATGTTTCCCTATAACTAGAACCAGAGAAGAGATTCATCATCATTTCAGCCTGTTTGAGTCCACTGCTGAACATAGGCCTCCACAACACACTGCAGAGAAAAGATTGATATTGTTAATTTGGGATACAGCAATCTAATACAGAATATATTTTAAATTTCGGTAATTGTTACAGAAAATAAAATTATAAGAAGACACAGATTTTTATACTTATACAATTGATAAAATCAATGCCAGTATATTTTTTTATTATGTAACAAAATGTAAAAATGAATAAAATAAATGTATTGTTAAATTAACATTTACAAATGTATTGTTAAATTAACATTTACAACATGATGAAAATGAAAAAAAATCCTTCATAGTGTAGCAAGGATTCTCTAAAATAAATTTAGCTAAAGGATGGCTGCTAATTCATGTTCCTATTTATCATCAACACAGACCGAGGTGTATAATGAGCTGTTATTCTACAACCCAGTAAACAACACTTGGAAACTGGTGAAGGCACCAGGTGCACCACCACCACGGAGTGGCCACCAAACAGTTGCAACCCCGGCCAACAAGTATGTGTTATTTAACAATATATAACATTCTAATAAAACTATATAAATATAACAAAATTGTATGTTTCTTAATATTTTCTAACTTAAAAGACACATGGAATGAAATTTACTTAAATTATAAAATTATTGTGTATGATTTTTAGCATAGAGATATTGGTATGTTGTTGTAGTCTTGTTGCTATTCTTTCAGAGGTGAGCTTTGGGTGTTTGGTGGGGAATTTACAAGTCGATCAGAAACACAGTTCTATCATTACAAAGATCTATGGTGTTTCTCCCTCGCAGAAAAGAAATGGGAAAAGGTACAGTTTTTTGATTTTAATACTTCCTTTTATGATTTTGTCAAATACATAAAATTTAAATGTTATTTTTAACAATTTAATATTATATTATGTGTAATGGTACTGGTATTTCCTTCGCCTACTCATTTTCAATGCTTAATGGCCTGTTAAAAGAGTTGTGCATGTGTCATGCATTTGTTACACTGTTTGCGACCTCTGCTTTTGTGATAACGTGCGTCACTGGCAGGTGGTGGCTCCGAACGGGCCTTCGCCCCGCTCCGGCCACCGGATGGCGCTGCTGGGGCGGAGGCTGGTGGTCTTCGGCGGCTACGCGGACGACGGGCGCGAGTGCCGCTACTTCGACGACCTGCACGCGTTCTGCCTGGACTCCAGGAGCTGGCAGCGGGTCAGCGCCGGCGGCCGCGGCCCCAGCGCCAGGTCCGCCTGCGTCATGCTCCCCGCCGGGAACGACTCCGTGGGTGATTCTCGATAGAGGCAGCGGAACCGTACGAAATGTGCAGTTCCTTATTAGTGGTCGTGTGGTGTGATGGCACAATACTGGAACCGGTTATGAAGGACTTCACAGGACCCTGAAAGACTGTATTTAATAGTAAAAAAGTCATAGTTACTTTTTTTTCTATGATTCTGCCTTTTTGTTATCCTTTATGCCAATGACCATAATTACTTTAAAATTTTATGGTTATTCTATGTTCATTGCAATAAATTGCACGTAGCTCGTCAGACATTTTGGTCATAACATAAATAACCGTGTTCTCTTACATAAGGAGAATGGAATGGAAAGTAATGTGAAACACACATTATCCACAGGGTAATAACACGTGGAAGTAGGACACCACCTGTTGCGCTTTCTGTCTCACTTATGGGCGGCGAGTGTTTGACATTAGTATGTTAGTCCAAAGTGTATAATCCTCTTCCTGTGCAAACCTCCTCGGTAGCTTAATAAAACAAAAGCATGACGCCGCATGTTGCGCTCTCTAATCGCACTTACGGTGGTCGGGCCACGAAGCAGCCTCGGCTGTTGCACGAATGGGCAGGCTCATCCGGGTGAGTACCACGACCTCACAGAAGACCGGCGTGAAATGGAAGTATAATACTTTCACATTTCGTCTGGTGGGTGAGGTGGCCGGAGCCCAATTTTAAAAAGGTTGCCAACGCATCAGCAACCCTCGGGTGTGGCAGATGTCCATGGGCGGCGGTGTCCACTTAGCATCAGGTGAAGCGTCCGCACGCTTGGCAATATTTAGCACAATAGCGCAACCCTCCGCAGCTCATAGTGTACGGCGGCTTCTCGCGTGTGCGCGAGGGGCGTACAGAGCGCACGCACACACACACGGACATGTTCCGGCTGGCCCACAAGGGCGGCGCGTGGACGTGGCGCCCGCTCGCCGGCGGCGGGCGGCCGGCGCGCGCTGGCCTCGCGGCGGCGGCCAACACGCAGGCGAATAGGGCCTATGTGTTCGGCGGAATAAGCGTGAGTATCGCTTGGCGGGGTCGCGGTTTGGGGGTCAAGTTATCTTGGAAAGTCATTTTGGTTTTAGTCTTTCTATCTGAGTGTATAAGCCGGTGTCGCGGTTTGGGGGTCAAGTTATGATGGAAATACGTTTCGGTTTTAGTCTTTCTATCTGAGTGTATAAGTGTGAGTATCGCTTGGCGGGGTTGCGGTTTGGGGGGCAAGTATTATTACGCATAGATGAAATTACGATGGACTTCATATACTTAATTCTATAATAAGTATTTATTTACAAGAGAAATGTATATTTAAGTATGTTCATCATGTACCTTGTACTCTTAGTACTGCGGCGGATGACAGCCTGACAGTTTCTTGGTACTGTGTTCCCGAACAGGACGTCGAAGAGACAGAGGAGGAGCTCCTCGGCGAAATGAGCGACGAACTGACCCTCCTCGACCTGGAGACGGGCCGATGGCACAACGTGACGTTGCGGGCTGAACAGCAAAGCTCGGCTCCAGCTCAGCCCCAGGAGATAGCTGAGGACCCACCGGCGGAACCAGTGACCGGTATTCACGTCACATTTTAATTCTCAAAGGCTTTTTTGCTTGTAATGGGACATCTCACTCACTATAAATTAGGTTCTCATTTTCCCCGCTCACTGCTAAGTATACAAAAATAGTGTTAATGTTCTTGAGTAATGAAGGCGCCATATACTGGCAACCTTACATCGTCACAATAAATCACGGATTAAATAGTGTGTCAATATTTTATTGTCTTAATTTCTGAAAGGCTTAAGTGGTTACCGTGGGCATATACAACACCTGTGTGGTGGAAGCTGCTATGCCAACATTCAGAACTCGGCCTAATTACCTCACTCAACAGGCGAAAACGCTGCTGTTCATGGGAAATACCATTATTGGGCGAGGTAATCGATCGCTTATTACGTGCCCAGCGGTGGAGGAAAACGTCGTGAGGAAACCCGCACATTTCGAACATATGTGAAGTCTGTCATTCCGCAGTGAGGTCGCGTGGTGTGGACCATTATCTAATGGCCTACGTACGGACGGCGCATTTGGCCAACGGTGAGAAATATACAGCGTGTCGTTACCATCGCGACAATAAATGAACACATGTCTAACGCTACTTTCCAATAATCATAAAAAATATTAACGTTAAACAAAATCCATAATTTAAAAAAAAAATATTTTTCAAACATTTTGTAACATCGTATACAACTACAACTGACTGATTCATACATTCAGAGACTTTTTCATTTGCCACAGCGTCAGATTACAAGCCTCTCCTTCTAACAGTATGTTTTGTTTTTTTTTAAATTCATTCAACCCATTCATATGCTCGTGACCTTTACGTTACAGTTTTATACGTAAGGTGTTCTAAAATTGTTTGTTTTGGAAAATTTAATAACTCGGTAAATATTGATGTTTAAAGAATGTAAATTTTTGATAAAATTTTAAAAAGATATCCTCTATATGTGTGTTCATTTATTGTCACGATTGTAAAGACACACTGTATAGGCTGGTCCTTTTAATCGGTGGTAACTCATCGTATGCGGGCAATAATCTCTTGGCTTCCGATCTGCAGTGATAGAGGACGGCGTGTTTACTGTGACGCTGGGAGGGGCGCCGGCGGGGCAGGGGGTGGGCAGGGCGGTGGAGGGGCACGGGAGGGAGGGGCCGACGCGCAAGGGGGGGCCCGCGGCGAGAATGTCCGCCATGATGGCCGCCCACCGCTCCACCCTCTTCGTCTACGGCGGCGTGTTAGAAAGGGACGACAAGCAGTTCTACCTCAGCGACATGTATAGCTTAGGTAATGGGCACTACCGTACTGTGTCAAGAGTGTAATGTTAAGACGAAATAATAATGCCTAACACAATTTTATTTTCGGCTTATGCGTCGATGTTACATACAATTTACAATTAAGCTGGCAAAATTTACACTTCTCAATATGGTTTGTCACTGGAACATGGAGTTTAGAGGTAAGGAGAATTGTCTCACATGGGAGAATATATGTCAAAGTTTTCTTCAGTAAGCAGTACATAACAGTTCAAAAACTCTCCATAAAACAAAATTAAGTAATTTAATATTTGTGGTGACTAGAGTAGTTGATGAAACTGCATTATTTAAAATCTCAACTTAAATGGTGTATTAATTTACCATTAACTTATTCACCACTACTGCCTACTGGCTACCGTAGCGCCACCAATTAAACGGTGTTCAACAGACATGTTTCAAACAAAGAGATTGATCTTACCTCTATCCTCCATGCTCCGGAAGTTAATATATAGTTACTTAAAACTTTGTTTGTAACATGTTCCGAACTGACTTAATTTCAGTCAAAATAATTTATGGAATCAGCCGTACTCTTTAATGGGTACTACGGTAATAGTATGCACCGTCCCTTATATGAGCTTAACGGTGACTTGTCGCTTTCAAGGATGTTTGATTGGTAAGCGTCATTGCTTGCCCAGGCCTTTTCACCAGATATCGATAAGAATTTTGAACTGCGGTAGGGCCGCTGTTGCACGAATTGGCAGGTTTATCCGGGGAAGACCCCCGACTTCCCTCATGAAGACCGGCGGTAAGTGGAAGTATTATACTTCTGCGTTGCGTTTGGTGAGTGAGGTAGCCTGGGCCCACTTCAATAAAATTTGCCAATGCCTCTGCAACCCTACGGGTGTTACGATAAATTATTACTATTATCACACGTTAACAAATTCAGTCTTATGCATATTGTGTACTACCTATATTGAAATAATTCATTAGCGTAGGATTATGCTTTTTCGCAGACTTGCACAAATTGAACGACTGGAAGACGCTAATAGAGCAGCCCCCGTTGCCCGACTGGTTGGGCTCCGACTCGGAAGAGTACTCAGGTTCCGACGGGTCCAGCGAGGAGTCAAGCGACAGCGACCAGTCCGAAGACGAGTAGACCATTAGACCGCTGGCCGTGGCTAAGACCGCATTGAGCAGTGACTCCTATTAAGTGACATTTGTGTCAGTTTCGAATAAACGTATATGTAAGCTACTCCGTCTTTTTTGTACATTTTCCCTATCCTTCCCGTTTTTATTGTCTTAAGCAATTATTGTTACACACGTGTTACAATAGTATATGAAAAAAAAAATCGAAAAGGAACAATGGTGTTCTTCTATCAAATATATGTTTGAAAGTGATAAACAAGATGGTTTTATGTTATAAAATGCAGTTCTTTTAGGGTTTTTTTCATGTTTTACCATAAATAATTTATTGCACGTTCTAACCATCAACGCTGCTTTTGTAATGTTGCCAGATTCACTTTTAATCTCTATTCTGAAAATTAAATTCCAAAGCATTTATAATCCTCTGTTGAACAATGCGCTTGCCTTCAATAAGCGTAAATGCATCATTTCCGCCGGCGCCGTGGCCGAATGGTGAAAACATCTAACTATCACAAATATTAACTTATTTATTTATGATGTCTTATTTATTGATGTCACCCCAAGAGTTAATAATTGCAATTGAACCGAAATAAAACACATTATGGTGGTGCCGAAATTGGTCACAAAAGAAAACATCCGAAAGCACATTTAATGATTTATTTATATACATGATTACTAAGTAATTAATTATACATTCATTTTATATAAAAACTTCGACTAATTTCAATGTTTACGTATAAAAACCATTGGCACGCGATTCATAGAGAAAGCCTTCGGCATCTGTCAATGCAGCAGGTTTCCCGCGGAAATGTCAACATTTCAATTCTTCGACGCGATTCACTTCAATTCATAATAGAAGATGTTAATTTTTCTCTATGGCTTACATAATGATTGTAAATATTTAGGAATAGCAATGAATTTTGTGTATTGGTTTAAATACGACATATTTTTTTTTTGCTATACAGTTTCATTAGAAAAGTGTTAGAATTTAGCCTGTTAATTTTGCTTATACAAAACCATCTTTTATTATAAACCGAAGGACGCCGTTATTCATATTTCGATACCCTGTCAATCGAATGTCCATCAAACCGTATAAAAACTAAGTCCTCAACTGTCAACGCTTATCCATATCAATTATTTTCTATTTATAACATTAACTATTTCTATTTACAATACAACTGGTTACGTCGATAGATGAAGTTTAGAGCTTCTGATGAAATCTTAGTAAAATTTTTTTTTATTTAAATTGTCATAGACTGTCGTTCAAGTATTACTTAAGGTAGCTTAGATCAGGTACCATTTCATTCATTTTGAAATGTTAAGTTATTGACTTCTTTATTTTTCTGTGGCATTTCGAATTTTTGTTGAGTGAAGAAATTTTATTAGGAGTTTCTGGATAATGAGTTCTTCATTTTCCGTTTTAAAACATAGTTATGTAGAAAGAAATGTAATGTATTAAAATTAAATTTCTATATTTAGTATAAGTTTCAAAAAACTGGTAAATTGGCAGATGGAATTATTTTAAAATTTTGTTGTTCTTGCTTCAACCGAGGAATGGAGATTTGAAATCATAAAGTTTCCTTACGTAATACTTGATCACTCCAAAGTATTTAATACGTTACTGTCTATTAGAAAAGAGTCAATTTATGGTTTGTAAGCATTGCTGTAAGAGAAGTCGGTTTTGAATTTTTTAGTAGTTATTTTTATGAGTATATAATTGGTGACGTCACTAAGTACAGATTAAGACTTGCGCAAGTTAGTGTTTTAGTGTGTACGTTTCAAATACCCATTATACACTTTTCAAAAGAATTTTGAACTGAATTTCTTGGTCCCGTACCTTAATTGTCGTGGCGTATACTTCTCGGTGCGCGTAGTGTATCTTAAAGTTAGATCTAAATTATTCATTGTATGATTGTAATTAGTGTTAAATGTTTTTCTAATATTTCCCAATAATTTTTCTTTAAAAATATTAACGGCGGTAAAAAAAAGCCGATTTATTGTTAAAGAAATAGGACTGGTCATATACATAATTATTGTACTTATGAGACACATACGGTAAGATAATGTAAAAATAACCCATATTTATGATCAAAATATCTTCTGTACAGACCATAGAGGGTATTCCCTGCACATATTCATAATTAAGAAAAAAACATTTTCGTTTTAATTTAGAAAAGATAACGTTTTATTACCACATTCATAATTTACATCGTGAAAAATATCTTCTTAACATACAACATTTTGTTTATTTATTTAAACTCGACACTATTCAAGTTTTGAGGATTACTTCATAAATATTGTGCGTTTTTTTTTTTTCTTAAATATATAATATACGATCTTATCTACACCCATTCAGGGGCATATATCATTGGGTAAAAACATTCAAATAATGATTAATTAGCAAATATCAAGTTCATTCCGCTGCCACCGTCAAGAACCATATGCGGGTGGTGTCGGAACACAGTGAACATCGAACTGTCTCGACATTAGTATGGCATGTAAGAGTAAACTTAAGTTAAAATATACACTGGTACTTAGCCATTAACTAATTTCCAACGCATTGCAGTTTGACTAATAGTAATATTCTCTTCCCTAATACAGACACATTCAAGTACTATGCGTTGAAAATTCAAATTCTTTAATATATCACTAACAAAGTAAAGCTGAAGCCAAAATCGTAATAAACGTAATAAAATATAATTAATAATAAGAAGCTCTGTAAATCTTGTCAGTCGGTTAAAATAGCAGTGCGATTGAGACAATATAACGCAATCTCGGTATATGAAACCAAATATTTCATTAGCTCGAATATATAATAGATTTCAACTTAAAAAAAAAACACAAGAACTTAAATAGGCTGCATCATTGATTTGGAAACGAAAAGTTTGAAACGCAAATCAGTCTCTTAAATTAAGATTACATTTAAGATTTAATATTTATGTACATTTTAAACATACTATAATGACATTACAACTAGATCGATATGCAACTTCGCGCCAAAAAATCTATTTACAAAAGACAATAAACAATGACGCTAAAAAAAAGTTAAATTTAGATTTATACTTTTAATGATGCCAATAGACAACAAAAAGTATTTCATCAATATAAAAACATTTCAAAATGGCCGACGAAGTCGCACAGCTGTTCATAAATCCCTCAGACATACATACACTGTACTTATAAAAATGTTAAAAAAAACATACATTCGCTATCTAGTTTAATCATAATTTACAAGGTTATTATTTACAAAGATCATGTTCAATAAATACACAATTTGCCTGGATATTTCTCTATAATAGTCTGGGCGACCTACAACGCATAACAATCTGCATTAAATAAAAAAAAAAATACCATTTTTATTGTCAAACACGTTGTTCTCCAGCACAAAAAAAAAAAAGAAGAAAAAAACAATAGCCAAAAATAATATAGATTTAACTATAAAATTGAATAGATAGATATAACATGAACATCCTTAAAGTAGCTGTCAGTTTGACGTATCAATCAAGGATTGCCGTATGGGGCGAGATAATTGTGCAGTGTTGCGTTTCTAAGGAAAAACGATAAGTTATTATATTCGCGCGTAAATCCGTTGAGTTCCATCTGACGTTCCCGCACCTCCATTTATATCACAGTGCGCTATCTCGCTCACTCACCGTCGCTTCTGACTAGGCTGTCCCCTTTACACGAACTAGCTCCCCGTCTGGCGGTCTTTGGGTTCGTTTCGGCCGATTTTAGAGATGTAGCCCACTTATGGGTGTTAAAGCGACAGGCTCTTACGTGTTATTCGTTATATATTTAAGTTTTCAAATTCTCAGAGTATACTCGCACGGGTATGAAAATGAATGAAGATTTCTTGGGAAATTAAGGAATTGAGCGAACGTCCACGTTCCGACAACGGGACATTAGTGACCCCGGAGAGTTGTGACACGGTACGGTGAAAAGTTCGAAAATAATTCGAATCACGTAACGACGAATAAATAATTTAATATATCTAACGACGAATAACTTAGTGCACGACATCTAAATAAACTAACGGCCGTTTTGCAATAACCTATACATCTGTAGATTTGGTTTCTGGAGATAGGACTTTGACGTAACTATTATGGAACTAATGTCACGATACTTTTCGCTAGTAACCAATGACGTTATATACAAATACGAGGTTGAAATCTGAGGCACTCAAATTACGCTAATTGGTGTAATTGCATTGCAATTCTATAGACTGTATTCTCTTTCCGTGTTATTCGTTCTATATCCCTTGTCACATTCACTTATACATGTCATATAATGTAAATCGGAACCATTTTAAAACGCCGCGAAGTATCATCTACATTAATTATAAAGTAGTAAGTTAAGTGTCATTTACATTATTAAATATCATTGCTAGTGACCAAATCTACAGCTACATAAAACGTTGAAAGCGGCCGTAAATCGACGTGACATTGTATTACCGTGCCCTATCGCCTAGCGTCACCATCGCTAAAGACGTGTTCGGACGCTTTAGCGTCGCGATGCCAACTGCTGTTCTACACCCTGTGTTATGGCAATAGACATTATATTTTTTTTCGGCCATAGACATTATTAATTTTGAATTCGGAACGCAAGCGGCCTGTGGGGGCGATCTCGAGGCGGACTTCGCCGACGAGGCATCGTTGCGATGCCAAATGCTCTATAACTTCACTTGTGTTATGGCAATAGACATTACAAATGTTTCGGCGATAGACATTATGTGTTATGGCAATAGACATTATAATTCTATGGCAATAGACATTATTAATTTTGAATTCGGAACGATCTCGGGACCTCGCCGACGGGGCGGGTGCGGGTCTAGAATAGGTCCGTCACGATGGCGCCGAACCAGGCGCACACGACGGGCAGCGCGTAGGCGAACAGCGCCCTGCCGAGGGTGGGCCGCTCCGCCGCGCTGACGGGGCCGACCGGCGGCGGCTGGCCCGCGGGCTCCTCGCCGCCGCTCGTCACGGCGGGCTCCTGGCCGCTGGTTGCCGCGCCCTCGTCGGCCGCGGCGGTGCGCACGCTGGGCACCAGCGGCGGCTCCGTGGGCGCGGGCGGCCGCTCCGCCGGCGCTTCGGGGACCACGGTGGGCCCGTCGCCCGAGCCTGCGCGTCAGAACCACGTGATGAAGAGATATATGACAACAATGTTGGTGAAGCGGGCCGCGTCTAGAGTGTAAAGGCTGGTTTTGGGCTCGATTGGAAAGGTTTCACTAGGGTCGTCCGAGAGTTTAAAAGTTTAACTGGAGAGGTTTGACAGGGGGCGTGGCCATCGCCCGCACCTATGAAGGAATCTGTAGGTGTCTTGGTGAAACGGTCCACGTCTAGAGTTTAAAGGCTAGTTTTGGCTCAAATGGTTCGAAGTGGGTCCAAGTGGGGGGTGAGGGGCTCCGGGAACTTCTATAGGGCGGCCGTCGCCTCTCACCAGAGGGAAGGTGCTCCGCTGGGGCTTCCTTCGGGCACATCCGTGGCGACCATTGCATAGGTATAAATCGCGGTGATGAGATGAAGAAATTGGTTGGACTCGTGGTAAAGTTGTCTACGTCAAAGAGTTTATGGGTTCGTTTTGGGCTCAACAGAATAGTTTCGAAAAGGGTCGTGTCTACAGCCCGTAAGGTAAACGTGCAGCACGAAAGTACTGCTTCCTGGGTAGTGGATGCCTGGAGTTCTGGCTCAAGGTTAAAATCGTGACATAGGAATACGAAGCACTGAGGTATTGGCTTCTGGGGATTGGGTTAATTTCTAGAGATGTGGGTTAAGGTTCAAAACGTCCTGACGAAGTGACCTACTAAGCACGAAGGTTTGGGAAGTAGTCTAATACCCTGGTAGAGTTGAATTAGCTGTGAGTGGCGGTTCACCTGGCTTCTGGGTGTGGAATAATTTCTGGAGCAGTGTAGCTCATAGTTCAAATCATGATACTTGGAGCACGAAGGTATTGGCTTTGGGTAGTGATCCAGTATTCCTGGCCGAGCTGGCAGAATGTCTTGAGGAGTGGTTCAATATATCCGAGCTGAAAGAGCCGGCCGGGGGAGCTGAACGTGGGTCGGTGCTCACCTTCGGGGTAGTCCGCGTTGGCGGCGCGGTCCTCGTCGTCGTCCGGTAAGTCCTCCGCGTCGGAGTCTTCGTCGTCGCCGGAGCCGGAGCCGGAGCCGGCCTCCGTGAAGTCCAGCGCCGAGGCGGCCTCCTGCACGTTGTCTGCGGCCGGGACACGCGATTAGTCACACACACACTATGCACTAGAGCCGTGATAGCTCAGTGTCCGGGCGCTCGCCTTTAATTCAATATACTCGAGCAACCTGAGTTCGATCCCCGGTGCCGGCACCAATGAAGTTTTTAACTTTAAGTGCTGACTTATCACGTGCGGTGAAGGAAAACATCGTGAGGAAACCTGCATATTTTCGAAATAATAACAAAAAAATATATATATTTCGAAAATATGTGAAGTCCGCCAATCCGTAGTGGGGCCGCGTGGTGGACTATGCCCTGATACCCTCTGTATAGAGGAGGACTTTGCCCAGCAGTGGGACATGTATAGGCTGTTACTTTACTTTTTTTTACACTATGCACGAACAAGTTGTCTAAGGACGAGACTTGCACTAAGTGAAAACGCACACGCAAAAAAATGAAACTAAATAAATTTGCTTTGATATAAATATTTATAGATATATATATATATATATAGCTCAACATAAACGTTTAATTTAAATATCTCGTTCATTTTACTTTATGAAAAAAAATTCTCATACGGTTTCTCACCTCATATCGGTGTTTTGAGGTGACAATCATAAAAGAACCGGAATTAGACTTACCAACATTTTTGGAGTCGGTTAAAAATATTTAGGTATCAATGAGGTCTTTTAAAGTGGAATTTGCCTAGTGGCTATCCCAATAGCGTGTACGTCGCTATTCATAATTTCAGATCAGTCACGTTTGGAACTACAATAAGTAACCGGTGTCTCATATCGACCGCAAATCCCAAATACCAAATCCCGACCTCATAGGCTCCCAAGACATCCTATCCTTAAACGGAAATCTGTTTACTCTGCTACTCTGCTGGTCTACTCACCGTCGTCCTTCCACTGCACCTCGACGCCGTTGTAGGCGTCCTTGAGCCTGGCGGTGAGCGCCCTCAACGCTTCGAGCTGAGCGCGCGCCGCCGGCGCAGTGGCCGCCGCCCCGCCCCCGCCCCCGCGCACCTCCGGGTTCGAGGCCAGCGCGGCGGTGCCGTCGCCGGCGGAGCTGCTCGTGTAGCTGTGGCGACGATTCATTCATTTTTAAACTTCACGCACAAAACGGACAGCATTCTCTACCAGTCAACCACACTTTCGAGGAATATTCAAATAGAAATAGAGATGACTAGAGAGAGGCTTCGGCGCCGAGGGTCGCGGGTTCGTTTCCCACGGGACAGGTGTTTGTGTGACGTACAGATAATAAATAATTTATATTTATATTTATATATATATATATGTGGGAATGGGTAATGAATGCAGAGAAAACGGAACGTTGAGTGAAAGAGAGAGAGGGAAGACGTATGGCGGGTGTGAGCGAAGTGTGTTAAGACGGAAGACGTGTGCTGAGATAAAAAAGACGATATTAAGGTGTATTTAGGCAATAAGAAGAAAATAAATAATATTTTTGAAAGCTAACAACGTGTTCGCTAATTTCGAAATCCTTCCCCACATATATATACAGCGTGTCGTTATCATCGCGACAATAAATGAACACACGTCTAACGCTACTTGCCAATAATCATATAAAAATAATAACGTTAAACAAAATCCATAATTAAAAAAAAATATTTTTCAAACAAACTAATGAAGTAAAAAAGAAACAAAATTTGTAACATTCTATACAACTCTCGCCATAGCGTCGCATTACAAGCCTCTCCTTCTAACAGTATGTTTTGTCTCTTTTAAATTCATTCAACCCATTCATATGCTTCGTGATCTTTACAAATGAACTTTACGTTACAGTTTTATACGTAAGGGTGTTCTAAAATTCTTTGTTTTGGAAAATTTAATAACTCTGTAAATATTGATGTTTAAAGAATTTAAATGTTTAATACAACTTTGAAAAGTTATCCCCTCAATGTGTGTTCATTTATTGTCGCGATGGTAACGACACGCTATATATATATATATATATATATATATATATATAACCCAGGCCTGAAAGAATTGACGACCCGAATGGCGTAGTGAGTAGTGTACCTGCGTCCTGCGCCAGAGGGTGTGGGTTCGATCCCCACTACTGGAAAAATATTGGGTGATGAACATAGTGTTTTTCTAGTGTCTGGGCGTTTATATATGTATAATATGTATTGATTTACAAAAGAAAAGTATGTTTAAGTACGTTTATCAGTTTTCTAGTATCCATAGTACAAGCTTTGCTTAGTTTGGGACTAGACAATGTTGTGTAAAAAATGTGTCCTAAAATATTTAAATATTTATATTTATAATAATTCAAAGTTATTCCAATTAGCATTACGCACAACTTAGCAAGGTCTGCAGTTTCGCCGCGTGCTGTCAACAATACGAGTTCGCCCCAATTTTATAATGCCCATAATAATTTCTTGTATTTCGACAAAGACAAAAATTTATAATTTAAAAACTGGCGGCAGCCCGCAATAACACAAGACAAGAAAGAAACTCAGACGTCCAAATCCTCAGTCTGTCCCGTGACCATGAACGCCGTAGAGGGTTCGAAACGTCGGGAATAAAAAATAAAAATAAAAGCCCATTTACATTACACCATTTACTTTAGTTAATACAGTGTACAAAGTTCATACAAGTTTCATACAAATCTCTCTGACTCTGTTCTAAATAGTAGAGCAACGCAACAGTGTTCACTGTTGCACGAATGGGCACGCTCGTCCGGGAAAGTACCGCTACCTCACATAGGACCGGCGTAAAGTGGATATATAACAAAAACTTTCGCGTTTCGTCTGGTGAGTGAGGTGGCCGGAGCCCTATCAAAAGGTTGTTAACGCACCTGGAACCCTCGGGTGCAGCAGATGTCTATGGGCGGCGGTATTCACTTAACGTCAGGCGAACCGTCTGCTCGCTTGGCAACTTTTCAAGTAAAAAAAAGGTGAGTTGAGTACCACCGCGCGGAAAAGTCAAACTTCTAGTGCCACGCATTCACTCTCGCTCTGTCTCTTTCTATTCCCCCTCCCCAGAGGCGTTGAACGTTTAACGCAACCTTGTTGGGAGTCGCATTAGTAGTTTCACTTCAAAGGTTTTTACCTCGCAAGTGCGGAGCCGTTGTAGCAGGGCGCGGTGGTGACGCTGAGCGGTGCGCAGAGGGCGGCCGGCAGCTGGGCCCAGTAGCGCCTGGAGCCGCGCACCCTGGCCCTGGTCTCCCGCATGAGGCGCTCCAGCACGGGACTGCCCCATTCCGCGCCTGGAAACACCGACGCGTCTTCAGTCGCATCTCTTTAGGGTTCCGCACCCAGAGGGTATAACGGGACCCAATTACTTAGACTCCGCTGTGTGTCCGTCTGTCTATCCATCTGTCTGACCGTTTGTCGTTTGACTGTATCTCATGAACCGTGATAGGAACACAGTTGAAAATTTTCACAAATAATGTATTTCTGTTGCCGCAGTACTAAAAAGGACTGCTGAACATAACACGTACACTGATGCACCCTCCATTTTTTTCTTGCATCGTAATTAGGTTTATTTTATTGTTATGTATTTATTTGAAGGGTAACACTAAACAGTAATCAAATACTATTGGTGCACAATATTTAATGAAAATAATAACCAAGCAGTACATAAAAACGAGTGAAAAGATCATCAAAGTATACTAATTAGAATATTTCGCGGGCATAAAAGAAGAGCTTATACATCAGAAATTACACAGGTTATATATAATTCATACGCCTTCACGACTAAACCGCAGAACCAATTTTGATGAAGTTTGGTATAAAGATCGATAGGATCTTGGAGAAAAAAATAGGCTACTCAAAGTTCTAATCATGCGCAGACAAAGTCGCGGGCACAAGCTGGTATCAACGTATTTGACGTGTCGCTTTGTTATTGAAACGGCTAATACAATATGTTAAGTGGAACCACACAAGTTGATTGCGTCATCGACCATAAGTCATAGTAGCTTCATCATCACTTTAATCGACTGTTGATATCGCAGAATTTTCGGATAATAAAGTATTCGTTATTATTATTAACTGTTTTACAAAGTATTCGCTATTAATATTAACTCTTTTACAAAGTATTCGCTATTAATATTAACTCTTTTACAAAGTATTCGCTATTAATGTTATTCTTTTAAAGCATTAATATTACTCTTTTGAATGTCATTCGAGTCGTGATAGCTCAGCGTCCGAGCAATCGATTTGTGCAATGAAATTGTTGATTTCAATTTTAAGTGGTGACTTCTCACCGGTGAAGGAAAACATCGTGGGGATATTTTTAAACTTGCAAATTTCAAAATATGTAATTAAAAATATTTGGACGATATGTGAAGTCTGCCAGTCCGCAGTGGAGTAGACTACGCCCTAATGCCCCCCGTACAGAGGACGCCTTTGCCCAGCAGTGGGATTTGTACAGGCTAACGTTACCTAATTATTTCTCTCTTGCTTGACAAATCTTTGCAAAAAAAAAAAAAACAACGCTATTAAGGTTGCCTGGAAGAAATTGCTACCCTAGCAACAAGGCCGCTTGCTACACCTTTTCCCGTATTTTCTGTCTTTTATTTCCTTTTTCCTATAAAGTATATTCTATTTTATTCTATTCTATTCCATGAACAAATTAATGATAACAATCCCTGGGAATGAGAAGTACGCTCCAAAGCATCGTCATAAAAAAATACCTACGGAGTTTCTTTCGCCCGTTTCTTCTCCGTTAGAGACGAGACTCCATTAGGAAACGGTGGTAGATTTAAAAAATGACTATCGACAGATGGAATGTATATTCCTTCCTTCGACGTATAAATGATTTGATTTGTTTGAGACTCACCGTGGACGTCGTCGGACTTTCCGGCCGTGGGCTTCTTCTTCTTCTTCTGGGGGTAGAGTTCGGCCGGCGCGGGCTCCGGCTGTGCGCCGCGCCGCCGCCTCTCGTGGCCCTCGTAGTCCTCCAGGTCGATGTGGCCCCTCATGTACTGCAGGAACCTCTCCCTGGACCTCGCCTGGCGCTCCATCTCCCTGCTCGCCTCCCTCACTCCCTCCGGAGTCCTCAGACCGAGCAGCGAGGGGTCGTTGTTGACCAGGCTCTCGAACGACGCCTCGATCTCGAAGTCGTCCACATCGCCGGACCTGTTCCAGTCGAGGTCCGGGACGGACCTCGCGAAGCGCCTGGCCCTGTCGGGCGCGAAGAACGGCCCGCTGCTTCCGCCCCCGCCGAGGTCCGGCTTGCCGCAGCCGGCGAAGATCTTCTGCGATATCTCCTGGTTGTGCTCCTGGAAGCTCATGATCGCCTCGGAGATCTTTATGTCTATCGGCTCCACCACCATCGCTATGTTGAACGGGCCCTGCAGACGGTCGGCCACCTTCTCCACGGAATCTGGAAGAGATACCACGATAGTACTCGTATATAGTGTTATAGCGATTAGCGTTGTGGGTGCACTAGTTTTGTTTAGTCCCGAAAAACGATCAATCAATGTTTTCTAAGAAAAAATAAAAGTCATGCGGCTGGAACTGCACATTTAGTTGAGTACGACTAGGGCAGCAGAAAGTAAAAGAAGTCAATCAGAGTTTTCTGCTCGAGACAAAGCGCAATCGCTGGTCACTCGCTAACCGTACAACCAATACATAATTAGGGTAACGCACTCATTACTAACTAAGACTTCACTGTCTGTCTGTCCCTCTGTGAAAAGGCTGTATCTTATGAACCGTGATAGTTAGACAGTTGAAATTTTCACAGATGATATATTTCTGTTTCCGCTATAAGAACAAAAACTAAAAAACAGAAAAGAATATTTAAGTGGAGCTCCCACGAGACGCATAATTTTTTGCCGTTTTTACAGATAACGATACGGAACCCTTCGTGCTCGAGTCCGACTCGCACTTGGCTGGTTTTTTTAGGTCAGTACAGAGGCCAACTCACCGACGTAAGCGTCCCACAGCTCTCCGAGGTCGGCATGCGATGGTAGACAGCCGCGCAGCACGTTGTGGCAGTATCGGCTGCACGCGGGCGCCTGCAACTCGCCACAGCTGCCACAGTATCGAAGCCGGGCCCATGCGGTGGCGCACTCCCTGCTTAACTCGACCTGGACGAAGTTTTAAACAGACCTTAGTAGGAGTCATCATCATCATTTCAGCCCGTTTGAGTCCACTGCTGAACATAGAAAGAAAGGAGGCCTCCCCCTTAGAAAGAAAGGAAGAAAGAAAATAAATTTATTTACCAAAAAAGGATGCACACAACAAATACTTAACAAAAAATAAAAGAAATTAAAAAGAATTAAAATAATACACACAAGAGCAAAGACAACAAAACAATAATCTACAAGTCGTTATGAAAGTTACGAAGCTCTGTAACTAACGGCCGTTCGTTGAATATAGGAACCGGGCATAAGACTGTCAACTGGGGGGTATCAGTAGTGTTGCCAACCTAAAGAGTAGGCCACATTTATCACTTTTCGACCGGGTCTCCCGCAAACAACCCGTAACTCGTATTAAGTCCACATTAATGTCAACCTAATTTATTACGAATGTATTTCGCGTAGTATACAGTGATATACGGGGAGATTTTTTGAGCAATGCCCAAATTTACACAGGAGGTTCAGGCTCGGTAGTATAATCGTTTACTGAAATAAAAAAACAAAGTTTTTTTTCCAAAAAAAATGCCATTTATTCCCTAAAAAACAGAACGTGTTGAAAATGCGGTATTCATTCATAAATACCTAAATTTTTCTGTGCACGAACTTGTGTGCGTGTTAGTTATGAATGATCGCGCGTAAAATAAATTAGTTGCATATACATCACGCACTTTTTGAGATAAGTTTAAATGAATGTAATCAATTACTTACGAGTGATTTTAAATATTTATCATTTTTATATAACATTATTTATGTCTACAATTTAATTAAAAAAATGGATACACTTAGAAAAGCCACCCTGTATTGTGAATGAGTGTGCATCAATAGAAAAGGGATTACTGCAACCGTTACCAAAGAACTGAAATTCTCCGGGATAGTTCTAAATGTACGGTAAGTGAGTGATAATTTGCTTATGCACGTTTAGCGTCATTCGATCCAGTGACCTTGCACTGTGTAATGTACACTAGCGGTGTATTACAGTCAGTAAATTTATTAAAGAAAAGCTATATAAAAAGGGTTATTATAATAAATGAATACATTAATGACAATGACCCCTGGGAATGAGTTGATCGCTCCCAAGCTATTTCTAAAAGAAAGAAAAAGTACACTTGTATAATGTTTAATTTTTTTTTAAGAAAAAATAAATGTCAAAAATGTGGATTCCTGCGGAGTTTCTTTCGCCCGTTTCTTCTCCGTTAGAGGAACCTCATTACGAAACGGTGTTAGATTAAAAAAAATTAATATCGCTAGATGAAATGTACGTTTCTTATGTCGATGAACAAATGATTTAGATTTTTTTTGAGTACCGAAATCGGCTGTGTTAGCTCCCCCATCCGAGCCGTGAGTGTCCGAGAGCTCGCTTGCAATTCAATGTACTTTAGCAACCTGAGTTCAAATACCGGCACTGGCACCAATGACATTGTTAATTTTAAGTGCTAAATAATCACGTGCTCAGCGGTGAAGGAAAACGTCGTGAGGAAACCAGCATTTTTTCGAAGTAAAGATCACAAAATATCTTTTCGAAGATATGTGAAGTCCGCCAATCCGCAATGGGTTCGTGTGGTGGATTATATCCTAGTACCTTCTGTTCACAGGCCTTTGTTCAGCAGTGGGGCATGCCTAGAATATTACTTTACTTCTTACAGGAATCAATCTTAGAATATATTCAAAGACAATTTCTTTTGAAATCTTAGAAGTCTCGTCCGAGAATTGGCGTTCGCTGTCGACTTTCTAGTCGCAGCTGTCAGCGGCATGCCTACCTTGTCGCGTTTTGAGATACAAAAAGTTAGGTGATACGTCGATTTTTTTTATTACTAACCTGTACCCGTAGATTTGTCTGCGGCCATATTTAATATGCGGCAATAGGTCTAACTTTTGGCGCGGAATTTTAAAACAATATTGTTCTAAATTCCTATTCTAATAAAAATATATTTTTTAATATTATTTTAATATTAAAAAAATATACAACACGGAATGTTTCTATACAAACTTATTACGTCCATCGGTGGGAGAAAATAAAAAAATCTGATACAAATGTTTCGTAACTTGTAATAAAAAAAACATCAAATACTAATTTTTATGTTTGTGAGTGTAAAAGTACAACAGACAAACAGATAAACAACTAATATATGAGTTGTTTTGGTACCTTGAAAATATTTCAAAATGAAAATCTTGAATTTCACTCAATCATTCAAATGAAATGATTCATTCTCTTCCAGAAAGTTTTTCAGAAATATCGTAAATAAAGTCCATTTACTTGTACTATCTGTAGAAGGCAAACAAGGGATAAATAAAACTACGACAGAGGCACAGTAATCTTGTGAACTTAAAGAGAAATCATAGTGTTACATCTCACATTGTGTTCAAATGTAGGACAATTGGCAATAAAATTACAAAACAAAGAGGCATCAAGATAGTAAGGTGCGATATTCTTTATTGGAGAGTTGATTGTCATTAGGGCTGTCAATATTTCAAAATTAAATTCATCAATATTGTGTACATAAACGTATGCAACCGATACGGAATTCGTTAAAATATTCTCTTATTAGTTAAATATTCTCTTTATTAGATATATTGTATACATATATATTGCATACATTGTTAAATATATTATATTATATTTCAAAATGGCTAAAAAAATACTTACCATAAGATTAACAATTCAATCATTCATTTAAATTTTCAACCAATTCCATAAATCGGAAGGACAATGAATTAATAATAATAATAAAGTATAAAAAATACGACCCACCATACTCTCCAGGGTTGGCAAACTATAAAAAGGACACATACTGAATAAGTCTTATTAAAGTAAGCGCGATGCAGCCCTTGACGAACGCAAGAGCGTTCCGTTATCCTAGATGACATCACGCGCTCCGGTCTCGAATTCAAATCGTTATAATTAGCGATAAATAACGAATAACGCTTTCAGTTATTCCGAGAATCGCACATGTTTCGCTCAAAGCGGGGGGAGGGGTATAGCTGCGTGCGGGGCGGGGGGGGGGGCATATATAATTTTAATTGCGGCTCCACTGGCGCCAACTGGGATACGAGTTGAGTCAGAAACGTGAGTCGACTCAGCCATGGCCGCGAGCGGATCTCTTCCGAGAAACAGCGATTTTTTTTGGCTCTTTTCGTAGTTTTTAAATCGAGCTTTTGGGATGTGTGCGTTTTAATTGTGTCTTTTACACAATTAAAATGTGTAAATAAATTAAATTGTGTAAAAGACACAATTAAATGCACACGTTAAATTAACTCAAAAGCGCACATTACTATTTTATAATGTGCCACGTCAACACTATATGATGTTTTCTGACAAAGGGACTTTAAATTACTCAAAAGAAAATGAGATAAATTGAAACAGACTTTTACTGCTTTTACAATATTCTCCATTATAAGCGATCGTCCGAACACTGCATACATCTTGTGTATCTATATCACATAGTACCACGCGGACGAAAACCATGAACAAAATTCAGTAGCCAATAGTTAAATGAAATAATTAATAACCGAGTACAGTGTTTAGTATCCGAGATGGTTCGCAGCATCAAAACGGCCAATTTCTTTTGACCTGATGAATTAACTGTCGCCATTTGCAAATACCTCGAACGAGGTCTTGTGCGTCTCCGATGGGGCCAGTACTGTGGGCACTGAATGACATTCAGTGAGGTCATCCGTCGCCTTGAATACTGATACGAATTTATAAACGCGCTGCCGAAAATTTGCATTACGGAATGACGCCGACGAGGCGCCGTCCATTGTACTGATGACCCTGAATCTGTATGCTGTCGCGTTGCAGCGAAATATTAATGAGTTACCCGTAGTAGGGGTAGTGTCCACGTTATTTTTTTTTGTGTCGATTGCGGTGTGAAAAATACATTTTAATTTTTCATACATTTTAGCGCCATTTTGATTTTTTATAATTTTAATATACCCAGTTAAACATGCGCAGTAATGACGCAAATAACGACATAATTATTATCTATCACTATCGGTTTAGTTATTACGAGGGAACAAAAGAACTTACATTTATTTACACAGAGGTCAAACATATTACCCTCCTTTTTGGGCTTCAACTCCAGTCGGGTAAAAACAAACTTATATCAGACCAAAGGGGGACCGGCAAGAGACCGCAGCCTAATAAAATATATTTCCTTTCAATTGTATTTATTGCAAAATTAGGGTATGAGTGCAAGGTCTATCAGAGGTCAACATTTCGCACTTTACACTGAGCAAGCCATGCAGTGTACTAAGTACATTTATTTATATTTTGGCACTCACTAGGTGGCACTTTCTAGTGAGTTGGGTGACCGCACCCAGCCACTAAAATCGGCATCTAAACGCTATGCAATGCTTATGAACTTTTTCATTACAAAAAACTTTGTCGCATGTTAACATCGTTCTCAGGACCCAGTGCGGCGACGTGACAGGCTTGTACTGACAGAAGCGTGACAGGCTTGTAAGACAGAGAACTGTCTCATCTGCATAATGCAACCTGTATGACCTTCTTCATTACAAAAGCTCTAGTGACCCGCGCCGTGCGCCACACAGACTGGTACCGGGACGTGACAGGCTTGTCAGTTCCCATCTGCATACTGCAATCTTTACGACCCTATTCATTCCACAAGCTCTGGTGACAAGCGTTCGCCAATCGGACTGGTGCCGCGTCGTGACAGGCTTGTCAGTTCCCACCTGCATACTGCAACCTCTATTACCTTGTTTATTACAAAAGTTCTGGTGACAACCGTTCGCCTCCCAGACTGGTGCCGCGACGTGACAGGCTTGTCAGTTCCCGACTGCATACTGCAACCTGTATGACGTTGTTTATTACAAAAGCTGTGGTGACAGGCCTGTCGGTCCGCACCTGCATCATGTTGCGGACCACGTCGGCGCCGGCGCGCAGCGCTTTGTGAAATGTGCGCGTCGCGACGAAGGCGCGTCGCAGCTGAACCGAGAGCTTGTGGGGCACGTCCTCGAAGGGCTGGATGTCTCGCATGTGCTCGTTGAGGCAGCGCAGGTACCTGCCGAAGGTAGGAAAAGTTAGGGCCCTTCGCTCACCAGCTGGCGGAATGCGAGCGAATCACCCGACGACAAATGATAACCGCCGCCCAATGACATTTGCAAGACCCGTAGAGTTGCAGATGCTTTGCCACCTTTTAGTAAAGTCGGCTGCCTCACTCACCAGACTAAACGCAGAGCTAATGCACTTCACGCCGGTCTTCTGTTAGGTCGTGGTTCTTACCCGGTCGGACCTCATTCGTGCAACAGGCGAGAACTCTTCCGCGGTCCTACCACAGTACACTGTCAACCTATGTCGTAGCGTATAACTAAATTAACCATGATAAATAACATAAATAATACTACATACCTATATAAATACATATAAATAAGATAAATGATGACTCCGTGGCGCAGTTGCCAAGGTATTGGCTTCGGCGTCGGGGGTCGTGCGTTCGATTCCCACACGGGACAACTATTTGTGTGACCCACAGATAGTTGTTTCGCATCTGGGTGTTTGTCCGCGTGAAATTTATGTTTGTAAAACGTCCTTTACAACACAGGATAATATTATCCTAAAGTAAGGTCAGTGTTTTTTATAGAAAGACTAATAGACATAAAAAAGAATAACGATTTCATTTGACATTTGAAGACTTCAAAAAAAAAAACGATCATTCAAAAAAAGCTCTTAATGTGTGTTTGTCTTATATCGGGTAGGGAACTCCAAAGACAAGATTTTGATAAATCCAAAAAGCTAAACAGGCAAAAGGTAATAAAAGTCGACGTTTTCAAAGCAACTGTAATGACGTTCGCGAGTTTCGTTTTTTGGTGTCGCGCCACACAAAGCCTGCAGGAGGCACATAGGAACAGGCATCCATATGAAGCAGTGCTTCAGTTTCAAGTGACTCCCGCCTTTGACGGGGGCTTCGAATGCGATAGGACAATACCCCTGTCCGTGACGCGCAATACATGTGTGCGGTTTTTATAACGTCACTAGCTCATTGCCGCGACACCATCCGCATTTGTTATGCAACCAGACGTTAAGTGAAAACCGCTGCCCACGGACGTTTGAAACACCCGGAGGGTTACAGGTGCGTTGCCATCCTTTAGTAAAATGGGCACCGGCTACCTCACTCAACAGACGAAACGCGCATATATAAGAGATCGTTGCAGTTCCCAGTACTGACCTGTTCCCCGTTCGCGCAACAGGAAGACTGTTGCGAGGCCCTACCACAGTCGCATTTATCTCAGAACGATTTTAACGTATATAACGTATTTTAACTCATATCCCCGCAATGACAGATCCGATTTTGAGTTCCTTACTCACTCTCGTCTCACCTCATTAATAACTAACAGACCTAGTGAAAATATAACATTGCATAAATTTCCGATTACCATATAAACGAAAATACGAGTGAAATTATATTTTAATAGCTTTTCGCCCGCGGCTTCGCTCGCGTTGAAGCCATTAAATAAATATCTTTCTTTAAAAAAATTTTTCAACTAAAAAATTGCCATGTCCTTTCTCAGGCTCTAGACTATCTGCGTACCAAATTTCATTTAAATCGGTTCAGCAGTTTTGGCGTGAAAGCGAGACAGACAGAGTTATTTTCGCATTTATAATATTATATGTAGTATGGATTAGACAACGATTTTTGTCACAATATCAAGTATCTAAAGAAACTGATTTAGGTTCTGCGTTGTTGGCAGTTCAATCTGCTGTGCTATTCATTCCGTTCTGCGCCCTATGAAGGTATGAAGATTTTCGTAGTCTTAAGAACTGTAAGCGATATCATCGAAGAAAGAGATACTGACTGACTTCTCTTTTTCGAGGTGTCAGTCAGTTTCTCCTTTGAACTACACAACAGATAAGTTTCACAGCACTAACCTATTGAAACGCCATATCATTTGATATTTAATATCTCAGCTGCCTCTGTTGTATAAAGTTATTATGTTCGTGCGCAACGGAAATAGGTAGCGATTGGTTCAAAGGAACGTATAACACATTTTCTTCGTAATAGCATCAAAATTGTAATTTACAGAGAATGACGAGAATGTTATAAGTCCGAATAATTGTGGTGATGTGTGAAAGCATAAATTGAAATAGGGTAAAGATTTTTGAGATATCTAAAAACAGAAGACGTTGGTACTTAAAATAATAATTAAAAAAATATATGTGTTTACTCATGTAAACACGTAAGAAATTGTACTTCGTAAGCGCAGAAAAGAAAAATAACTAAAAATTTTATACCCTGTACCAGTACTCTTTGTTTGTGAAAAAGGCATTAAATGCAATTGATAACGGTTTAAATTAAACAGCCTGTACATGTCCCTTAGGCAAAGGCATCCTCTGTACAGAGGGTATTAGCGCATAGTCCACTACGAGGCCGCCCTGCGGATTAGCGAACTTCACATATATTCGAAATATTTTTTTTTGTTATTATTTCGAAAATATGCGGGACGGTTTAATAAGATAACTTGGAATTATAGGTATATGTCAAAAAGCTGTTATTGGTTGCCATAGTAATACCGTGAAGTTCGTCTCGTTGTAGTAGAACCTACTCGTTTGCCGATTAAAAAAAAGTTGCGCGTCGTTTAAACGCCGCGACATTGCGACTTGTACGAGTCGGGCATTACGGCGGCCATTATTTTAATTCATCGCCGTCCAATAAATTTGAGTGGGCATCCGGAGTTCGAATTTTAAACACGATGAAGTTATTAAAACGGTCGAATTATAAAAAAAACCACGCAATAACCGCCGATTGGAGTCTTGTCACGTCTTCTGTCCGGACTCGGTGATGTTTGGAAGTACGCGCGAATCTGGTACATATTATTTGTGCAATTAGAGCTGCAATCGAGTGCGTTCTGACACGAGGTAGCCTCTATCTGCATGCAGGAATGTCCATTCTAGGTGGCAGTGCTTACTATGTATCGGTAATCCGAGTCACGGATTATGCGGTGGCTTTTTATCTTTTGCCGGCCGTTGGTAAACTGCCAACCTCAGCGCGTAAGGTTATGAAGCAACGCAAAATAAACGAGTTCCTCTCAATGAGTTATGAAATCAACGAAAAACTTTTATAATTACTACAAACACTATCGTTACACAGATAATAACATTGATGTTCTCATGCCTCGCTTGTATCCAACAGTTTCAAATAATCTAGGCAAATCAATTATACTATTTGGTAGGTAACGTTTTTTGTTTTTTTAAAATTATTCGAGAATTTTTTGATATTTGTCTGGAATACTCAAAAGTTTATCATGGACACTACTATCTAATTATTTCATTAAATGGTACGTGATCAGCAATTTTAGAATTAATATTTAAATAGCAATCGTCTTCATTGCTGTTCTTTTTTTTTTGCTCATAAAACCAGGCCAGTGCTCAATTTGAATTTTACAAAAATAGTAAAAATATTAGTCTTGTAGTGTTCTCTGATTCCGCGTTCATGCCCTCAGATTAAGCTTTTAGAACATTCAAAAACTTTATGTTTTATACACTCTCGTTGTTACATACAGGATTAAGAAAAATATTTATTTATGATTGTTTTTTTTCTCTTAATTATTTTATGGATTTGATTTTTCTCTACAATCGACTAGAACTAAGGCTACAAATGCGCTATAATTCGCGTTTAAAGAGCAATTACAATAAACAAGGCGTAATGGGTTTTCGCGCCCTTTTTTCTTTTTATTTTTCTCTACTCCTCCACATGCCAGTGTTACCATTAACGTCCAAAAACGCGCTAACGGGAGACGGTTTATAGTTCGCGGGCACGTAAACAAACCATCGGAGGCAATAACACGGCATAGAGTGCCACCGTCGAGTTGTTATGATAACGTGAAAGCTGCCGAGGGCGCGCGCCCGACGAAAGGGCGTTATCGTGCTCGAGAGTATTAAGATAAGGGCGCGATGGACTTTCGATGTGAACGCGATGCGATTCTATCGAAATTAAAAAAAAAAACCGCGGTCGCTTTTTTTTAGTTTCGACAGTCAAAGAGTTCCATAGAACATAGGGTGAAGTTACATAGAGTGAAGTAATATGAGAATTGCACTAAAGTCGACTGCAATAATAATTATTCAAACTCTATACAAAAACTAATATATTAGATCGTGAAAATAATGTCATTAATATAATAAGTTCGGTCAAAAATAAAAGTGAACCAAAAAAATATCATTAAAATTTATGATCAACCTGTTCACCATTTAGAATTTTAGATATTAATACTGAGTACATTATCTTAAGTCCCTATAACAGTTAAGACGACTGTTGAGGAGTCAAAAAGACCCTACAAAGTTTAAAATATTGGGTGATTCTCGTTCAACAAGCGGTGACATAATTTATTGTTTAAGCCACAGTAAAAGACTAATCTTCTTTCTGGAAAAATTGGTAAATTCTATGAATGCACTCACTTCTGATCGAAGTTATACTGCGAGTTGAGCACGGTGAACATCTTCTCGTACAGTATGCCGAAGAAGTCGTCCATCATCTTGTCGAAGTTGGTGTCGCCGCGAGTGTAGTAGCTGGAAGCGAAGGTTAACGTTATTTTTTTTTTTTTTATGTGAAAAGTTGCGAAGCGAGCAGGCGGTTCACCCGATGTTAAGTGATCCGCCGCCGATGATTCAGACGTATTGCCAGCTTTTAAAACAGTGGGCCCCGGTTACCTCACTCACCGGACGAAAATTACTTCCACTTCACGTCAGACTAGGCTTCTACTGAGCCGCACACAATTGGGAAATAAAAGCGTTAATAGAATAATCCATAGAACAATGTATCGTTGGAAATTTTACGAAAAACCGCTAATCAGTTGAAGTATTGCATAGACCAACGCAAAGAGCCGGATCTGCACAAAATATATCAATTGCATTAATCTACTTATCATTAAATATAAAATATTTTGATTTAATGATAATGAGATCGGATTGAATGATAATTATATTGATACAAGCTTCACCGTTTAAATTGAATTAGTACACACTGCCGCCAAAAGAAGTTACTAGAATGATTCCAATTGCAATTTGAAGATTCCGCCATAGCAGGCCATCACAGGGTAAGTATAAATTGTTCGCGGACTCCCTCAGTCAAAGCAACGGTATAGGAAGACCTATACTTCAATGTATGCATTAATGCAGCCTAAAGTATCTTGGTAACAGAGCTTTATTCATGTCGATTAACAGGGCAAGGGAAGTAAGTTTTAAAATATGGCGGCGCGATGCTTCCGCGTCCACTTGTGAATGCGCGCGAAAATGTTAAAATTCATAACGGCAAGGGTTGAAGGGACCCTGGTGTGCGCCCCCTCGAGGGCGCAATCAATGGAGGTCTCCTCAAGCTGGTGCATGCAAACGTATTTGTTTTCAATTAGAACGACACTTTAGAAATGAATTGTAGTTGGAGTGATTAACTAGTAACGTTTAAATTTTTTTTTTAAGTTTTTTATAGTGCTAATCTCTGCACTTAAGATTGAACATTAAAACATGTAGAAAAAGTAGCGACAATCTTTGCGTACTTTTTCTACATGTTTTAATGATTAATGATGAGATTAGCACTATAAAAAACTTTAAAAAAAATTTATAAAAAACAATGGCGACATCTCTCGTTTGAATTATCGTTGTAAAACGATATTCGAAATTGTTTGTATACTGGAAAGGCATTGCTACAAATGCTAAATAACAATGTAGAAAGAAGGCGTTAAGATTTTCGTCGCTGTGGCTATCAGCCGTTTAGCTCAGTGGCTAGAGCGTCAGGCCGCGAATGCCGAAGACGTGGGTTCGATTCCCACAGCGGCGACAATCTTTTCGTACTTTTTCTACATGTTTTAATAGTGACGTTTACTTGTGAAGCATACGTTCGAAATTCAAACAATTGAGTTTGCGATGTATCGCAATCAAATTTTTTTCTAGAAGGCAAAGGCATACTATCTCACACGGTCACTCCTACGTTATAATCGGATGGACAGATGGTCACCGGTAGGTCTCTATTCCTTGGCTGTAAAGTAAAAAAAGTAAAGTATCAGCCTATAGATGTCCCACTGCCGGGCAAAGGCCTCCTCTGTACAGAGGGTTCCTTAGCTGTACGGATGATGGATGAAGAAGCGAATCGCTTCGTTACTGTGGACTACACCAAAAGGGTGGGGTACCGCGGAACGTGTATTTGCCAAAATGTTGGTCAATACTCACTTTTGTAGTTGCTCGAACAGCTGCTCGAAGACGTACGAGTGCTGTTCGTATATCATCCCGTACGTGCGCTTGAACATATTGTGGAACTCCTCCCGGGATACTTTCAAAAGCTTCCGGAAGAATTCTGCGAAAGACACAAATACACTTTGATATCATTAAAGTAGTTACTCATTAATTTAATTATTTAATGTTTTATTTGGTTTATATACAAAAAAAAATAATAGTTTTTACTCATTTTATATTGCTCAGTAGAATAAACCTTTGTACCTAATGTTATATTGAGTTTCATTGTGTATGCTGTGTTTGCTATGTATAGAATGCAATCATTTTTTTTTTCTGTGTATATTTCTTTTTTAAACAAATTATTAAATCTAGCAGATTGTATTCAGTTAAGCAGACCTAATAAACTAAAAAAAAAAAAGAAACACACAATTACAACTGCCCGGTTGGATCTACATTTTTTCTCGTGAGAGAAGGAATGATCGAACAATCGAACTGATGTATTCGTGTGGAAGGGATCGAGTAGAAGTCCCAACAACCACTGTGACCTTGAATGATCTATTGTAGTCTTTCGTCTACTGCAGTCGGCAATACATCAAGGAACTCCTCAAAAGCAAATAGTAAATGTAAACTGAGTAAAATATTTAAAGTCGGTAATGTTTTTGTTAATAAAAACGTTTCACTTGTGCGGCGATGTGGTATGTAACACAATAATGTACAAACCAGCCGGTGCCCGCGACCTTCCGCAAGATTCGAGTAACAAAATTCATCAAAATGGTATTGCGGTTTAGTCGTGAAGGCGTAACAGACAGAGTTAATTTTAGAGGCCTTTGTATCTTTATAAATTATGAAATGCGTATGCGTTACTCTGATGTATGAGCTACATTACTGTAAAGTTTCAATTCATTCAGCAGTTTTTGCGTGAAAGAGTAACAAAGATCCATCATACATATAAACTTTCGCGGTTATATCATTAGTAAGGTTGCAAGGACGAATTACTTTATTTCCAAAATATACCTGTATTATATGGCTTGAGGGCCGATCACACTAGTCCGTATGTGAAATATGTGGAAGGTGCAAATCCCTGAACTCGGCCCACTACGTAGTTTGTACAGTTATAACTAATTTGGATTGGAGAGTGTGTTTGCATTGTTTCTGCAGTGATGTCATGTCAGGCTCCAATGTCGTGATGTATTGTCAGCGAAATTATATCTTGTGGTAAGAAAACCTCAATATTTTGCGGTAGAGCCGTTATAAACATAGACTGTATTTGGACGAAAAAAAAAACTACTATGAGAATTATGTACAATGGAGCACTGTTTGTGCATTTTGTACATTGTCAAAAGAAATAATTTTACGATTTTTAAAATGAAAATTAGACAACATCCTTTTTAAAGTTACGCACGCTTTGAACAGTTTCATTTAATAATGCTTAGAACTTCCGTTTATTTACGCAAATACATAGAGATGGTTAAATGAAGCTATTTTACAGTCCAGTATTTTACGTAGTATCGTATCAAAAAACGGTTGAAAATGGTAAAATTCGACGATAAATTAATAACCGTCTTAGCTATCAATTCAGATGTTATGTCTTATTTAATATTTTAATTAACATTAAAATTATATCTTAATAGCCCTGTTTACAAAATGGCAAAAGAAAACACTGATAGAGAAACGTTAAGTGAATAAACATTAAGTTCGATGATCTCTGTGTTTTAGATGGAATAAAAAAAAAACAAGTTGACAACGGCCAGTAATGCGAACGACAAATGTTTTTTTTTGTCGCAATTAAAAGAAAAAGATCGCATGCACATTCGTATGCCGAATTAAGTCGGCGCATTCCTTTTTTTATTTCCTTTTGCAACGACAAATATTTAGTGCCCGTCGTATTGTACGACAATATCGAAACGTTTTTATGCCAGTGATGGACGGTCGTTGAAAAATGATTATCGACAAACATTATTCATACCAGACGAAATATTTCTCGATTCTAGAACAAGAAACCAAGGGTAGTGCGTTTTTCCTCCAAAACATGTAATTAAAAGGCAGTTTCGAAATGACTCCGTGGCGCAGTTGTCAAGGTATTGGCTTCGATGTCGGGGGTCGTGGGTTCGATCCCCACACGGGACAGCTATTGTGACCCACAGATAGTTGTTTCGTATCTGGGTGTTTGTCCACGTGAAATTTATGCTTGTAAAACGTGTAGGGACGTTATCACAGGATAATGTTATGCTAAAGTAAGGGCAATGTTTCAAAAAAAAAAGAAATAAGTAGGTACTTTATTTTCACGTATTATTAGCACTGAATTTATAAATACTTGAACATTAATTGAGCGATACATCTCGTCGTATAGATTTCAGACCCCCCGTGACTTTTACTTAACGGCTCTATCTCCATTACCGTTGCCTCATTTCATCACGTCAATGACGTCACAGGGTTAATGGCGACTTGGTGACGCAATAGCTCTCAAGGACGAGAAGGGGAATCAGAAAGAACTAAGTATAAATCTGACAGCGGTTAATCATGAAACGTTAACCTGGTGCTAGATTTACGCCTGGAATATCGATTTGTAAATGAAAGATTATGTTATAAATTATTAATGGCCTGGTGGACCTCCTTATAGAAGAGCCCTTTGCCCAGCAATGGTACTTTACTGAACATTTCCTATGACGGGTGAATAAATATCTATATGTAATAATCAATAAGATTGTTTAAAAGAAGACTTAAATTACATTTACTAAATGACCAAACATCCTCTAATTCATAAATAATTTATGTACAAACAAATTCTTTCAATAATCCCATCATAGCGGCTATTATATTGCCTCAACCAATCACATTCTGTGTTTCATTCTGCCTTGATGAATAAAAAATGAATGAGTTATTTTTCTGTTTATGTTTTGAATATGTATTTATTTAAGTGATGTCAAATAAAGATATTTCTTTCTAAATATGCAATAATTTGTTTTTAGTTTTAAACGAGACTAATTTTTTCTATAAATCAAACTATTATTTTCTTCTGTCCAGTTGCCAGTCCCAATTATCCTTATTAACGATTATTAAAAATATTAGGAAGGTCAATCTGGAAAACGTTCAAATAATCAAGGAATAAAACTTAAATTATTCCAATGGCACTGTGATATCGGTGTGCCAATATACATATGACTTATACATATTTGGAGCCAAAAGGAATAGAAAATATACAACACAATTAATTTCTTTCGCGCTCTGATCGTTTGTGAATACTCAATGTCTTTAATATATTATTTCGATTATATTCGATATAATTCAGTTGAATTTCCGGATGAAATTGACCAACCGCGAAGCGATTCAAGACTAATTGCGAACATTATTAATCGCGTAATCTCTACGCAAAAACTTCGCCGCATATTTCACACTAATTTGTGTTCGCGTCCACTTAGCACTAACGTACTATAAAAACTTACAATTTGAATGGTCTTATGTGAAATTGATAAATTTCATGCGTTCAATTTAACGTTCGGAATTGGCGTGAATAGAAATGCTCGATCAATAACCTAGTACCATCATCTTTAGTTATACTTACGTCGCGTAAAACCAGTGAGCACCGTAAATGTAAAGCCTGTACCATCATCTAAATAATACATCATTGATGAAAGTACAATAAAAATACAAAACTAGTATTCCATTACAATAACTTTAAAAAGGCAAAATCAAACACATTATTCAATTTAGAGACGTTTTAAGTACTAACGACCCACCCTGATCTGTTCGCGGATACAAACATATCTACAGACTACAAAACAAGAATCTATGATTGAAAATAATATTATTATTTTCGTTTACTTTTTACGAAAACCGGCAAATACATTTTATTGTAAAATCAAAGGCAGCAGGGATTTGGCTTAAATTAATGATCTTTAATGGTTGTTATGATTATCTAGAATAATTTTGTTGTAAATTCTCGAGACTCCAGTTCTTCATTGAAAATTACGCTAAAGAAGTAGATAAGAGCCTCTGTAACTAGTAATGTAATGATTTTTTTAGAGGTATAGATGTGATATAAGATAGCAGCAAATAGGGTATGCACTAAAAACTTGCCAATTTCTTTAAACGATTGCTGATAACATGACAGGTCACGTAAATCATAATAAAATTGCCTTTTAAAAGGCTTTGTGACGATGTGATTTAAGTTCGTTTGTTTTGATTAAAAAAAAATGATAACTCGTCGGTTTCTGTGTTTGGGGGCACGTTTGTAAAGGCCCATTTACACGATGCCATTTTCTTGTACATGCAAGAGCAATAATTGCATGCAATAAATTGCGCGCAATTGGTTAGACCATTTGTTGTTTAGACCATGCAACTTATTTATTGCTTCAATTTAATTGTATACAACAGGCAAGAAACTGGCACCGTGTAAATGGGCCTTAAGGGTCGACAGGGTATGCAAAGCGCTTGTGTATGTATGGAGTGAACATGAAGAGATAGCAGCTACTGTTAAATCTTTATTTGCGCCCAGTGTTCTTCGCATAGCCGAAAGGCCTTCGCACTTGATGACGGCCAGTTTGCTATGCAATTAGCGATTGCTGTGGCGCGTGGTCTAAGTGGAGCAATTTGTCTATCCACTCCATAAAACCATGTATTCTCATAAAATGCTATCGTGCGCTGAAGTCAACTGGTTCAATAGACACCGACGAGTGATCGAACGCCGCGAATCTCTATCGGGCTATTTTATATTTTTTAAGGGAAAGAAGGAGACAAACGGTCAGGCTGTTCACCTGATGTTAATATTGAAACACTGTTGGAAATAGACAGCCTTGTGAAAAATATGTCGTGAAATATTTATTATTATTTTTTTATTCATTCATTACCTTGGTATGTCCAGCTCCTTTGTACAGTAAGACCAATTATTCCTGTTCTATTATTTTCAACGTCTCGTTTGCAATTTTAACTTTGAATGCTTGATGCGGCGTAAGATTAACCCTCAATAGCTATGGCTAACAACTGCATGGCTAAAAACAACTTTTATCATTTCTTACAGAGGCGACTATAGAGAAGCTATGAACAACGATATACGTCAAACGACGAAAATAGTCACGCCAATCGGATCCGAAATTTAGCATTCGGACGAAAGTATGAATGCCA